GGAAATGTTTGCAAATTCTCCATTGCTCGCGGCTCAGATCGTGGTGGTCCGGCTCAGATCGCGGCATTCCGGCGACGGCGTGGTAAAAACAGAGGCAAAGGTGAAGCTGGCGGCGTCAGAGATAAAGAGCGAGAGAGGAGAAATGAGCAAAGAGAGAGAGGAATGTGCACAAAGAAAAAGGGTTTGGTTTGGATAGAATGAAGATCAGAGAGAGAGAGAGAGAGAGAGAGAGTCATATTTCTTTGATCTGATATACTGGTGTAAGTTTAGGGACCTTAGACATCAAAATATAATATTGTGAATCTCTTCTATTACTAAAAATGGAAAAGAGACCTTAGACTAATTTTTACTAATTTTTATACATAATGATGTGTTTTATTAAGGATCATTCATTTCAAAATAAAACACCATTAAATATAAATTTATTCATAATAATGAAATTGTCACATTATTATTGTAAAATTTTTTGTATAAATTTTATATATGGATAAAATTTCCCATATGAAGAAAATATGGGATGTGAATTATATCATCCGCTATGGAGTTTTTTTAATGTCTAAAATGTTATCCTCCTCTATCTCAATCAATTTTTCATCATTAAATTATACAAGAATTTCAAAATGCATTAATTTTAGAAAAATATATTTTAAAAAAATTCTAGGGCTTGATCTTTGTAATAAAATAAATTATGAAATTTTAATTTTTGGCAATTTAAACTCTATTCTTTTTATTTATTTCAAACTAAACTATCCGCCTATCTTCGTTAGGTAAAAACAGGGCCGGCCCTAGCCTAAGGCCAATAAGGCTTGTGCCTTAGGCCCACAATTTTGGCCTAAAAAAGGGTCCCAAAATGTTTTATTGGGCCCATGTTTGGTTTAGTCCATATTTAGGTGGTTTTGGCCCACATTTATTAAAATGAAAATATATATAAAAAAAAAAAAACAACAACAAATAAAGTGTTTGGGCCCAACCCATGCATATAATATACAACATTGTTCATTTAATATATGAAAGTAAATTTTAGTTTATAATTTTAATGATTATATGTGCAAGTATACTTAAATAAAAAATTTGTGAATACTTATCATTTTAATCATAAATTTTTTATTAAAAAAAAAATATATTAGAAGGGCCCTATTTTCATAGTTCACCTTAGGCCCTACAAATCTCAGGACCGGCCTTGGGTAAAAATTTTAAAAAATGAATATTTTAGTCATTAAACTCAATAATTTAAATTCTGAACTCTATACTCTAAAATACTAGTAATTGTTTTGTCAGTTTTACTTAACAAAAATAAGAGGATAGTTTAGATTGAAAATAAATAAATTAAAATTAAAATTAAATTGACAAAATTAAAAGTCAAATGTTTATTTTATTATAAAGATCAAACCCCATATATATATATATATATATATATTGTTATTTCTTATTCTATGTAAAATCTAAACTCAAACCTAAAATCGTATAATATCTTCTTTTATTACTTTTGTTTGTTAGTTTTAAGTTTTAATTTGCAATGGTCTAAATACTTATGGTGAAACCAGTTTTCTTATGGTTGTTTAAATTCTAGAACAGTATGTCGTTATTATAGAAAAACATGTTGCTATTATGGAACTAATATAGCGCTATGTTTATATTTTTATGAAATTCAAGTGTTATATATATATTTTTGTTATTTAATTATGTGAATCCGTGGTCCTAAACCGATTCAATCCGTATTTAAATGGATTGGTTCAGATTGGTTCCATGATTTAAACGGATTGGATTGGTTCCAATTTTTTAGGAACCGTAAATAACGGATTGGTCCTGGTTTTATCCCAATCCGGTCCAATCCGGACCATGCTCACACCTAATCAACATGATGTGAATGATGTAAATGATCTGATGTTTCATTCTATAATTTCAAAATTTATTGAAATCTGATGAATATTAGATGTTTTTCATCCTATATTTTCAAATATTATTGAAATTTGATGAACATTAGATGTTTGAAATCCAATGTTTGTACATGACTCTGATGTTATTAACATTGTATCTGATGTTATTAACATTGTAATGGGACCTTTCAGTCTATAAGAAAACTTTTAGGACTAAACAGTGCATAAGTTATTAATTTGGGATTTATTGGTGCATCTCCCTAATTTTTATTCGAAATTATTAACGAGTGAATAAAAAATTGATTCGAAAAATCACTTATTGAACAGTTGTTGAAGAATAGTAACATGCTTTGTAAATTTGTCTCGCATATTTTGTTTTCTTTTAAGGGTTGGATTTTTCTAAAGTTCACATTTGAATTTAAGAAAACTTAAGGATCTTCCGTTTAAATTATGTGTATCATACATTTTGTAGGCCCTCTATTTTGTATGTATCGTTCAAAAAAAAAAAAAGAGTTAATTTTATAATAGTAACTTTTTCCTTTTATCACGTCTATCTCAAAAAAAAAAAAATAAAATAAAATAGACGATAAGTGTATTTTTTAAAATAGATCATCTATTTTTATTTTATTTTATTTATTTATTTTTTTTTTGTAGACAGACACAATAAAATGAAAGATTACGATTATCATGTCAACTTGTATTTTTTCATAGATAGTATACACAAAAGACCCAACAAATAGAATGATTAAGATTATCAAAATAAGACCCATGGTGAACTCTATAAACCTCTTAAGTTTTTAGAATTTGATAAAAGTTTAACCCTTTGTGAAACTAGTTATCGTCTGGGATGATCTAATTTAGCTTGACTTTTTAATTTTTTAGCTAATTTATACTGGCTAACTTAGTTCTGTTTATGAACTTTTAGTTTTTTTTTTTTTATATGTGATGGTTATAAGATAAAAAGTGAAATGATTATAATTTAAAAATAACATTTCGTCTTATTGACTTATTTAATTTAATTTATTTTTTTGTATTTATTTAGTCAATTCAACTTTTGTTAAACGAGGCCAATGTGGTGGTGGTTCTTTTAATTGTTGTCTATTATCATTCTTATAGTCTATTAAGTTCCAATTATCATTCTTATTTTCAAAATTGTCAATTTAAGTTAATTTGGTCATAACTCTAGCGTGTATCTACATTGGATTAATGCTTGAGACCCCTAAAACGGGTGACTCTCATGACCCGTAGTTGATTGGTGATTACTCATTATGTATTTTTTTCTTTGCATTTTCTCCCCTCTCTCTCACAGGTGTGGGGAGGTCGTGGGGGTCTGTAGCACTTCTAGTCTACATTGATAGCAGGAACAATACATATAAAACAATTTTAGTCTATAAAATATGTGTTTCTTGTTATTTTAGTTTTTTCAATTTCAATTTTTATCATTTTAATCATTAAAATTGTCAATTTGAATCAATTTAAAGTTTTGTTTTGTTTTTATGCTTTTGTTTTGTTTTGTTTTGTTTTTGTCTAGAAACATGGACTTGTTTGGGAAGAGAGTTTGGTTCAAATAGTCCATTAAAAGATAAAATATGTTAAAATAGTTAATAAGATAAATACCTATTTTAGGAAGTGTTTTTTTTGTTTGCCTTATTGAATTTTTTGAAAAAATGTGCAAAAAAATAGAGAAATGATATGATCTAAATAAGCTAATCTTTCGTTTGGGATGTAGGTTGGCTTTTTGGCTATTTTAATTTGAGGTTAAAAAGTTTCGTTTGGGATGAGTTTTTTGGTTTTTTAACTTTTGTATGAGAAAAAATGAAATGATTATGGTTTGGATGTAAGATTTTGTCTTATTGACTTTTTAGCTTAGTTTGTCATTTTGTGACTAAAATTGCCTCAAAACCACATGCCAAACATAGCCTTAGTCAATAAGTTGACTTTTTTCTAATTGCCAAAATATGTCAAAATGTTACATCTAAACTATAATTTTTTTTTTTTCTCTTACAATTATCAAATTAACTAAACAAAAAAGGACAACAAACTTTTCAAACACAATTATGTTAATCAGAGAGTTTGTTTGGGGTGTGCTATATAAGCACACTTTTTATCTTTTTTGAATCATATCACATTTCTATTTTTTTACACATATTTTCTTAAAAAGTGTAGATCATCTCAAACAATCACAAATAACCAAAAAGTCAATTAAAATAACCAACTAAACAATCATAAAATGTTACATTTAACCCATACTGATTTATTTTTTCCTCTCACGACATCAAATCAACTATAAAAAAAAAACTAATTTTTCTAACATAATTTTTTTAACCAAACTAAGACCCCGTTTGGGATGAATGTTTGTGCTAAAATAGCCATATTGGACAAAATACGATATTTTAACAAAATAGGACAAAATGTTATATCAACCCATAATTATTTCATTTTTTTCTTTCACAAAAGTAAAAACAGCCAAAAAATATATCCCAAATAAAATTTTTAACCCTAGATTAAAATAACCAAAAATTAAAAAATCAACCTACACTATAAACGAATCCTAAATAGTCAAAAAAAAGCAAACTGTGGTTGTTTGGCATGTGCTAAAATAATATATTATCTTATTTAGGCCACAATTATCTTATTTAAATTATATCACGTATCTATCACATCACTTCAAAACCCAACCTATATTTCACGTTTTTTTTTAAAAGTTAAAAAATATATTAATCTAACACTTTTTAAACAACCCATTAGGTTAATCTAAAAAAATAGATACTTTTTTATATACATACACTTATTAAAAGTACATTTATCAACATGTTCGCACCACTTTTCTAACTACTCTCACTGAAATATATTGCGGGATGGTTTGAGATAATCTAAATAAACGTACTTTTTGATTTTTATAAAATGTAAGTTAAGTTTAAAATAATGTGATAAAAAAATAATATGATTTAAATAAGATAATGTCTTTTTGATTTTTTTTTTTTTTTTTTATTATTATTATTATAAAGGAGGACAATCAAGTCCTTATTTACAACATACAGGGCATCGAAATAATCAACTTCTAAACGAGGCCATAATTGGGGGGCAGAATTGTAATAAAGCACTGGCTAATTACGTGGCGTACTGGGGTTGCAGCCCCAATAGATGAAAAAAAAGGGCCAAGAAAACAAAGCGGCGACGCCGCGGCCATAACTCTCTCAGAAACCCATAGAGCCACTCACTCACTCACTCTTCCCTCACTCCAAACTTGTTCAGACATATATTTATTCACCAAAACACAAAATAGATCGAAGCCACCCACCGATCTCTGAAACTCCGTCCAAAACCACTCAGATCTCCGGTCGATTTTGACCGGAATCTGACAACCATGTCACTGGAAGAAACACTTTCCCGGTCACCCCTTGACAAACCTCTCCACCAACTCACTGAAGATGACATTTCTCAACTCACTCGCGAAGATTGCCGACGCTACCTCAAAGACAAAGGTCTCTCTCTCCTCTCTCTCTCACTCCCCCCCTCTCTCTCTCTCTCTACATATATATGGATGTATATATGAATTCAATTTATGCTAATCGGACGGTCCATACAGGGATGAGAAGACCGTCGTGGAACAAATCGCAGGCGATCCAACAGGTGATATCGCTGAAGAAGCTCCTCGAAACGACGTCGGATTCCGACGCCGGAGCTCTGAAGAAGCTCTACATTCCTCGTCCCCCTCAAAATCCACATCGTGTACGTGTTTCAACCATCAACTCTCTCTCTCTCTCTCACTCACTCCCACACACATTCACACACACAAAGGTCAAAGCATGTTGATTTTTTTATTATTATTTTAATTCATTGGTCCACCAGAAAGTCTAATTGTATATTACTAGTCTAACCTATTATTAATTATTATTAAAAAAAAGGTAACTATAACTATATGTTATGTGTAGGTCCCCAAATCATCGAGTGTCGATACGCCAATTTGTGTAGAATCGGTTCCTCACCGGCGAAAAGATCCCGAGGAATCCGATATTTCCGGCGATTTGTCCGGCCGCGCTGTTGTCGCCGGCAATGACTCCATTCCTCCCAGGTTTTAATTTTTAATTTTTTTTTTTAATGCTAGTTATTTCAAAACAGCTGTAATTGTAGTAGTATCCTAGTGTCTTAATTCATGGAGACATGAACATTTGGCAAATAAAATTATTCATGGGGGTGGGTTTGTTAAATTAACAACACAACATGCATGAAATTGAAACACAAAAAAAATGCATAGGAAATGCATTGTGTGATTTAGATTTATTTTAAGTATGATCTGTGTTGCCATCTTCATGATGAGAATGGTTTTTGAAGACCTTTCACAGGGATCATATGCAAGCATGTATCAACTTATGCCTAGCTTTTAATGGACATGGGATATGCAGTCTTACAAATGTGCAGATTTAAAAAAAAAAAAAATGTGATCTTGGCGTATGATTGTCTACTTACCAAGCTGTTAACGGATGGGGTGGCATTGGGTTTGTCTTCAGGCTTGTTCGCTTAAGAAATGTGATGAGAACACGTGCTCTTTGACCAAGCTCATAAGACAACAAACAAGTCGAGCTTCAAAATAGTTGAGCTCAACTCATTAAGCTCACAATTTTTATTTATTTATTACAACAGCCAACTTGTTGAATCTCGTGTTCCTTCAACATCATTGAGGCTATGATACTTGCAACTTATCACAGGGTTATTATTCTATGAAACTATGACCTGTGAACCTAGGCACCTAAGCTTGCTATGATTGTTGACATAGTATGTGTAATTGTAGTATTTGTTTCCCCTTATATGTCGGGCCTAGGTCCCCTAATCTGTCACCCTAGGGTGGCTGATCACGTTCCAAAATGAGAATCAACGAATTGAATGTCAATTCTTCCTCAATCCAGTGGATTTACATTTGTAAATTTGCGAATTCACTTCAAAAGCAACGAATCTGGACTTATTTCAGTTAAAATTGCCACAGGTCTCAGCTGTTAAGCCTTTGACTTTAATAAAAGCAATTAAAGTCTATGTTAATGTGTCACAATATTGACCACGTAACAGACAAACTCACCGAGGCAGCGAGCACAGCTGCCAGTGGCTGGAGCTTTTATAAACAAAAGGCTTCAACACTGTTACAACTCACTCAATAGTCTAAATATGCAACAGTTGAGTTTGGGTTTAAAAGGCCGCTGGACGCCTCAAAAGTTTTTTGCTTCCCACCGATGTGGGACTGCACAAATTGAAAATTTTGTGTATGGCTTGTATCAATGTGTATGGCTCATGTCAAGAGCTATCAAGTGATACAAGTCTTTGGTTCATAAATTGAAATTTATCTGAATACCTTACCTTTCTTATCAATGATGAGGGTGTTACAAATTGCACCTGATATCAGTGATCCGCTTATACTGTCTATTGGGTTCCAGTGCATACGTCAACTTTTATTGAATGTTGTCAGACTTATCATATTGAGATGTTATAGTTTTGTACATTTTGTTCGACAACTTTAACGGTGTATAACTTCATACTTCCCATCTTGTTTATTGTTTGCAATAAAGGATTTATTTGCATTTTGTTATTGTGCATTCTTGTCAAGATATGGCAAATGTGATTTGCACTCCCTAATTGCTTACCCCTGATAACAAAAGTGTTTCAACTATTTCAAGGATTAGGAGGATTGATCAATTTCTATACTTTTGTCTACTTGCTTTCAAGAATCAAGAGGCTTGTGGAGGTGTGCATCACCCCGATCTTAAATGAATGAATTCACTCATGGATTTTTTGAGGGAGATAGGGGCCATGATTTCCCTTAAGTTCAAAATCCCCTTCAATCATTTAAGGATTAATCTAATTTGTTTTCAAAATCTCCCCTTCCCCCTCCACGCATGGACCATTAATATACATGTATCAAGTGCAAAAGAATATAGAAAGATAAATCCTCTCAAAATCTTAGCATTAAGTTGCCTCTTAATTAAATCCACAATGACCACAACTAAAAAAGAAGAAAAACAGTTGTTCCACAAAGCTCCTGCAAACCTTACCCTAATTTTTTTTTGGGAATTTTCATATTTTGTTAAATTTACATATCTGAATCTCTAGTTTCTCCTAATATTAGTGAGTCTCAAAGCTAGGATCACCATCTTAACTTGTTTTTCACTCATTAAGACAACTGAAAATACCTTTTATTGGCACTTCTTTTTACTTACAACAAAATATATATGTGACTATCATTAGAACTTCTTTTGAATTCCTTTTCTGCCCAAAAACTATTCTCATGGAACCTTTCCTATAGTCGTTGATCTTGCTCTAGATTACTTCCTAAAGCTTTAATTTCATGATGTGGACGCATTTAAGAATATTGATATATTAAACAAGCATTATTATGGTACTACTATATATATAAATGTGTTTTTCTTGTATTTTCCTTTTAGGAGTGAGGTGTTGTTAGTATAGAAATTTGTCTGATACTTTTGGTGCTAAAGATCTTTAATGTCAATTGTCCACAATCTTAATCATTTACTCTGAATTTCTTTTAATATAGTTTCTAATACAACATTCCACTTTTGCTCAAAATTTTTGTTTGAGTCAAGGTGCACTCCTTGAGTTATGCACGATATATGTATACATACTGATTATTTCTATATATGCACTACATTAGATTGATAAACTTTTGAAGTCTTTGGTCCCCGCAAGAGAACTTTTAAGGCATCGCCCCTGAACTATTCAATCTTGAGTCTTGTTTTTGTGCTTGATCTATTATCATTGTTCATCCAGGGCTCCTGACTCGGTGAATTTGATAATCCTTCCTTCCTTGAAATTTTATGTATAATGGCAAAGTGTAGCTTCTTGCTTCTTTAACTCGAGTTTCAGTAGAACATCATTCCTTTTTCCATGGCAACAAATTGATTGCCCAAAGATATTTTAAATTCTGTAAAGCAATTGCCAGGTTTATGATGCTATTGATTTTCAACAAAAGCTAGCCTTCTTTTTGCCACCTGCACTGTAGAATCCAGTTGGTCGATCTTAGTCAATAGAGTTCTTAGGAGACATTATTTGATAGCATGTCTAGTATGTGATTCTGTTTTGCCTACAGTTTATCCATTCATGCGTGCATATGATAGAATGGGCGTGGATGAAAAAGAGAAAAAAATACGTAATATCTTTTGTTAGCTAGGATTTTCTTTGATGGATTTGATAAGTAGGTATCTGTGGAGGACTCAGGAAAAAATTATCCTTGTTAAATGTTACCTTGTACAGATATATTCCTACCACTCAGAAGGTTTGCTGATTTAAAAATATTAGTGAAATGTTAAAGATGGCTATTCGCTATTGGATATACACATAAGCTTATTAAGATAGGTCATTACAAGAGGTAATCTTAATGATATTTGTTGTTTTGTAAGAAGTTAGTAGGTTAATCATCTTCTTGATTGAATGTTTGCTCCACTAATGGGTGAAAAATCTATAGCTTCTGTCAAAGATTTTGGCATTCATAGTTTTTATTTTCTGTATTTTTGGGATTTTGTTGTGATGCTTTCTAAACTGATGATAATTTATTTGCAATTGGACTTCAACTCTTATTATCTATGGTCTTTAGGTCTACTAAAGGTTTTTTCTATCTACATCATGGCATAGCTCCCCCAACCCCAAATTTGGGTACATCTTGTAAATTTTTACTTCTGTGGAAACTACTTACATTTATCTCAGACCACATGGCGGAGTTCCTTAACTTGCAACTGTGCAAGTATATGTATGCCTGTATGGGTGGATAATGCATTGCTTGACAGTTCTTCCAAGGAAGAAATGATAGATATCTTGGTTCTAATTGGTATCAAATGCTGAATTTTTTCCCAAATGAACCCAGAATCGCAAGTGAAACAAATGGGCCAGTAGGACAAATGACAATATTCTATTGTGGCAAAGTGAATGTCTACGATGATGTGCCAGCTGAAAAGGTTTTGAAGCTTCACCTTCTGCATATATTCCCGAGATTATTCTGATGGTATTCTCGGCATCTAATGTGACCAGTATGTGTTTAGGCACGAACATTAATGCAACTTGCTGCAAGCCCAGTCCAATTTCCTCTGGAAACCCCATGTGACGAAACTACGACAAGACAATCTTTGCCATGCCATTTACTGGCTGCAAAAGTTGGCCCAGATTCTCCTGGTGTGATCTTGCCAAACTTGCAAACAGGTAAGTTTGTATAATTTATTACGAATCTTCTCCTTTTGTTTTCTTCATAGATTATAGAAATTTCCTGCTTGGAATTTATTTAAAATTTGAATCAATTCCCCATGAGCAACTTGTCTAACATGCATTCTTGGTACCTGGTGGATGGCAGAGAACTTGGTTGACACAAGAAGTGTCTTGTTTGTTTGCTTTCAGTAAATGACCTGACCTGTAGGTGTATTGTTTGTTTGCTTTCAATAAGTGGCCTGATTTGACTTGTAGGTGATGTTGGCATGGACGCATTTACAAAATATTGAAGTTGTTAAATACCGTGGTTAATAGTTGTGCTTGTACTCTGTATTAACATGTGATCTTGTTTCGGTTTTACAGTGAATATAGCTGACAACTGGCGGCTGCACAGGGAGGAAAGCAGCATATTTCGTGAAGACAACCCTGGTAAATGCTGCTTCTAGTTTACAGTTGCTTCATTGGATTTTACGTAAGTAGGAATAATATATGACTATTTTTGGACTCCTCATAGCAATGATGAGTATGGGAGTTTTTAGTTTTGGTTGTGTTCCAGTAGCCCTCCCCATGCACATAGATCACCCACCAAAGTTAAAGGCACTATTTGATCATAGGCCTCAGGTATCCTGCAAAGAAAAGCAACTAATTAAACCAACTGTCATCAGCTGTTGCGGAGTTTAAGTTTATATTGTAAATTTGTAATGATAACAACTTCAATAGTAATGTGATAGCAGAATTATGCACTGTTTAGATTCAATAAGATGAAGTCCTTTCTCATTTGCATTGTTTAGTTTTTAAGTTAAAGTTCTTGCCATTCAGGATTCTGGGTGCTCTACAATAGCAGGGTAACACCAATCTCATTAATATTTTCCAGTGTGATTTGTGATTTGGTCTTACCCATATTCTAAACCTATATTCTGTTACACAAAACTAGACTTGGGATTCGCCTGTGTTTAGACTTTGGAGACAATTTATTGCAATTATACATGATAAGTCTAGGGTTGGTTGGAGAATCCTTTTTTCACAATTTTAGCTCTATCCTGGGTTTGTTTTGTTCCTTGTAGTTTCATAGGCCATCATGCTTCCCTTCGCAGTGTGACTATTTTTATCTGATCTTCATCTTGTCTTTGTAATACCTTTAAATGGACCCACTGCAGCTAAGTGGCCCCTTCCCCGCACTCAGGTTTAGGTAAGAAAAATGTTTAAGAAAGTTTCACAATGTGGATTTGATTAATTGTTCACCTTGCCCTCGGTGCTAGGACTAGCATTAGTGGTATCTAAATGTGAGCATTCTTTGAAATATGACTCTTTAAATAGTAGGTGACATTAATTGATTTGTTCCTCTTTCTGGTTTATGATATATCTGAAGTACAGTATGATATTTTTTTCAATTATAATACAAGGAAAACATGATGTATTGCATTTCCATTCATGGGGTAAAAAAGGAGATATGAAAAGATGGGTTAAGCTGGCAACCTAAATGTTTGAATTGCTTCTCATGTTTCTTGAATTATACTCGTGTACAAACTTCCAATAAAATAAGCATCCATTATACAAAATTGAAAACATTAAAGTGTAATAGGAACGGTAAAAGTATTTTCACTCAATCAGTTGGGTAGATTAATATATGATGAGAAAAATGCTTTAAGCTTTTTATATATAATGACATGTGGGAATCCCTTGATTTTCTTCACCCCATCCCCATCCCCATACCCATCCCCATCCCCCTCTTTATTTTTATTTATTTTTTAAATTTTAGCAGTTGAAGGTTCGGGAAGCAGAAAAGCATCAGTGCAAAGATATCGTCAGAAGCGAAAAGACAGGTATCTCAAATGTCTAAGCTGTTCTTTCTGGCAATCAGATTGAACTACAAAGAGTCCATTTTGCTTCTTTCTTTTCTTTTTTTGTTACTCACATCCCTGTTAGCTGAAGATTCAAGAGCAAGAAAAAGGTGGCAAACCCTTCGTCTGCTAGTTTGGACATTTACTTAAACCATCAGATGGGGAATCAGACCCAGAATGAGCGCTCAAACAGGAGTGATGCATGCTCTCCACCCCAAATCAGACCACCCAACACTCCTACCCGGTGCAGCTCAGTGGATAATATAGTGAAGAATGCCTATCTTTCTGTTGCTCTCAATGACAAAGGTAATGTTTTTTGTTGCTTTTGTTTATTATTATTATTGGGTGATTGTTAAACCCACAACCTTTTGGGCTATCCACAGCCCCTTTATCACTACGTGGGACCCACCCATTTGAAAGAGAAGGCTGTGCATTCCTGTGATCTGGAAGTGTCATTGTTCAAAATGTTCAGATAAATTCATGCATCTGCACTTTGCACATGCTCAAACTGACACGAATTTTTTTTTTTTTCTTTGATAAATCAAACTGACACCAAAATTTCAAATTACAAATTACAAATTACAAATTCATACAGCTCCAGATATTAAATCTACATTTGAACTGACTTGTAAGAAGTATGTCAGTTAAATATTGTTGGAATTATTGATAGAAACAACTCATTCAATTATAATAGCAGTATTGCCCAGAAGCTGAATTTTAGTGACCAGTGGACTGATAATTATACCAAAAGCATACTCAATCACTTGATGCTCCAGTCTCTTTTTTCGGGATGAGTGGTAGAACGGTCTAATGGAAACTAGGACAAATTACAAATAGGCGGAACAATCATAAAATAATTGCACACATATGAGAACATAAGAAAGACTTGCACAAAGCACAGGAATCGACTTGCACCATGCATGCAACACACCTGCACAACCATGAAAATACAATTATTTCTTCACTGCTCAGCTGAAATGCAATTTCCCTTAAAATTACTACTTAAATACGTGCCGACTATTAGGGTGGAGTTGCATATCCGGCTTTTCTTCGAATGTTTGTGTTTTTTTGCTGCTGGGTAGGGTACCAACTTTGAAAAAGTGATAAAGAATCTGTAATGGTCTGTTTCATCATTTCAGATATGCAAGAATGAATTTGGGGAAGATGGTTTTGGTGGGCCATGTCAGTGGTTCATCTTCAAGCCATGTAAGCACTTGTAGGCATAATATCATTCAAGATGGCTAGTGAACATGACAAAAGGATGCCTAAAAATGTAAGCTTCCTTGTAATATCTTCTTTTTGGGATGTAAGATCTACTTTTATGGTTGCTGCCATTTGAGTTAAATGAAGAGAGGAGTCCCATCTCTACTTTGTTTCTTTGTCTTGTATCTCCTTTACAAACCACTTTTAGATATTTCTGGTAAGTGGTTACTCTTGGAACTTTTAGGGCCATACTTTTTTATAAAAAAACAAACAAAACCAATCCAAGTCTCAACTCCCATCAAATGAAGTTAGTTACATAAATTGATTTTGTCCACTCGACTCTATCAACGGCCGTTTGGTTATTCAAATTAAGGAGATTCATATTTCTATTTACTTTTTTATAATAAAAATAAAAATAAAAAATAACTTTTATTCCTTAAATTATGGTCATTTAAAAAAAAAAAATTATATTTCTTTCTTAAACTATTAATTTCAACAATTTAGTCCTTGAAGTTTCTAATTTTAGTTAGTGTGATCCAATTGGAGTTAGTTGTCCTGATCAACAATAGTTAGGGCCAAATTTGATGGATAAAAATGCAATTTTAAAAAACAAACAACTTAAACCATATAACTAAAAACTCACTTTTTTATTTACTATTTTTTAAATCTGGGATGGAGAAGAAGATGAGTGTCGGATTATAGGGTATAAGTCATCTAATACGATGTCAATAAGAAAATTAGTGTTTACTACTACTAGTAGAAACTAATAACTGTAATAAAAGGATTTTATAGTGATTGATCAACAAAATTCATAGAAAGGCTAAGCTATTCTACTATTTCTGTTTATCTATGCAATTTATATTAAGTTGTGGAGCTACCACAACAATCTTGCTGATTAGGGTTTTATAATTCTTTTTGAAAGCCCATTTTGGCAGTGTCTTTTGTAGGGTGAAAATCAAGGAATAGAGTTTTGACATTTGTAAAATGCGAATGTGTATTTGGTAAACAGCAGTGATTTAGACTCCCTCAAATTTCAACTCCCACCACCCCATACACGTGGCGGGTGGTGATTGGAGGAGAAGAAAAAAAAGAAAAAAGAAAAGAAAAGTCACCAATCAAAAAAGAAAGGGGGTCAAAGGGGGTGGGGGGAGAGGGGGTCCCAATCTTTATTCTTTGGCAAACCAATATATAACACAACATACATTAACCTTCTCAATTTGTCTAAATTTTTGACAGACCACCAAATGGCCAAGAATAAAGATGTGCTTACTCTCTCAAGTCTCAACCCAACCCACTAACTAAACAACTTCCCCACTTTTTATTTGAGGTTATATTTAGATTTTAAATTTATGAAGAGAAAAAAATAAAAAAATATAAGAAAAGAAAAGAAAGAAGAATATTACATTTTATTTTACTTACAAATTATTACTATTTTTCTTTCTGTACTTGTATTTTTAAGGCATATGATGTGTATGAATTTGCCCATGCTATGTTCTTCAAATTTGGACAGGAGTTCTATTAAATTATGAGTATTTATGAATACAGAATTGGCCACAAAAAATATATATAACAATGTATAACTAACTACATGTATTTTTTATGGTTGAAATGGTCTCTATGCAATTACAAAGATAGCTCTCTCTTGACAATTTTTAACTGAAGTTTTCAGAAGTGCTAGAGCTGGCTCTAAAGTTTTTAGTAAAATTCATTTTCTAAATAGAATAATCTTTTTATTAATTTTTGAAATTAAATTGTTTAGAAATAGCATAATCCTTTTACGCTATATTTGATTGGGGAATTTAGGAAAAGATTTTTAAATAAAAGAGAAAAGATAGGTGAAATATAAATAAAATATGCTTATATTTTACTTAATTTCACACATTTTGTCCTTTTCTCTTTTCAAATCTTTATTCAAATCTTTCAACCAAACACAACGTTAATCAGTATGTTTGGTTTGAGTTTTTTGGATTAAATTTTTTGAAAACTTAGTTTTTTGGTTTTCGTGTTTTTTTTTGTTTTTAGTGAATATTTTTAAAATTTTAAACATTTTTTTTACCTTTTTAGATGCACTTTATTTAGATGTATCTAAAAAGTAAAAAATTTGTGAAAAAATATTTTAAAAATTTAATAAATACATAAAAATACAAAAAATGTACTGAATTTTCGTATTTTTTTTTGTATTTTTGATATTTAGTGAATTTTTAAGAAGTTTTTTTCACAAATTTTTTACTTTTTAGGTATATTTATGTTAGGTATGTCTAAAAAGTAAAAAAAAATTGCTTAAAAAGATTAAAAAAATTCAATAAAAACAAAAAAAATACGAAAACACAAGAAAGTAGAGAATTTTTTAAAAAGTATTTTTGAAAAAACACAACCAAGCAAATAATTTTTTAAATTAAAAAGTGTATCCATTTTTACAGATTGCTAAATTTTGATTGATGTTTTGAAGCACAACAGTGATCAGGATTTGAATGTGTGTGTTATAAAAGTATAATTATTAATTTTTTTATAAAAAAAAAAACGTATAAAAATATATAAAAAATAATTTAATAATTTTTCAACTTTTAAATTAAAAATCTGTAATCAAGCCAAGACATCATGTAAATGGTATGGTTTATAAATTATTATTATTTTTATTTATTATGAAAAGATATGTAAAAAAAATAACGAGATAATACATGTTAAATAAAATAATAAGTTAATAAATTAGTTTTTAAAATGTTTCCAAAAGTGATTAATTGATTGTTTTTCACCAAAAAAAAAAAAAAAAAAAAAAAACAAAATTTCCCCAAAAAAAAAAAAAAAAAGAAACAGAAAATTCTGGAGAAATGATTAATTTGTTGATATTTCAATTACGTTGTTTGAAATGATCTAAATAAGTGTATTTTTTGTCTTTTTATAAAAAGATGTGTATAAAAGTAGAGAGGTGATGTGATGAAAAAAAGATAAAAAGATAAATTATTTAGGGGATGCCAAACAATAAGCTACGTCAACGATTAATCCATTATCAAAATTATGGTATTTTTTATTTTTAATTAAAATATATATTTATTTTTGTTTATTTCAATTATTTTAGTTTTAATTGATTTAAGGGTGAATTACACTATTAGTCCCTATAGTTTGAGACTTGTGTCACTTTGGTCATTGATTTTTCAATTGTGACACATTTGATCCTAAATTTTGAATCTTATTCCAAATAAGGATAATTGAAAATATTTTTAGATTTTTTAAGGGTCAAATCGTCAATTTGATAAAATATAAAATAATTTGACAAAAATAAATGTCAAACAAATATTTTTAAATTTTTAAAAATTATTTTTACCCACTAAAAATAAAATTATGTAAAATTGCTAAATCTTTTAGATATTTATTTTACCAAATTAATTTTTATTATGTGCTTGGATGATGATTATATAAAATTAAATTTAAAAAATTAATCATGTAATTTTTATTTAAAATAAATAAATGTCTAAAAAATTTATCAATTTTATATAATTTTATCTTTAGTGCGTAGAAATAAATTTTAAAAATTCAAAAATATTTTTTTGACATTTATTTTTGTTAAATTATTTATACTTTATTAAATTGATGATTTTGTTCTCAAAATTAAATAATAATATTTTTAATTATTTTTATTTAAAATAAAATTTAAAATTAAATATGTCACAATTAAAAAATTAAAGACTAAAATGACACGAATTCCAACCGACAAGGCTATTAGTGTATTTTGTCCTTGATTTAATCATATTAAAAAAGTGTACTGGTGTAGAATTAATTGTATCTTTTTTAAAAAGGCGAGTGTAATTTATTCAGAACAAAAGGTTAAAACGGCACCGTCCTAGCCAAAATTCCCCTATACGGTGTCGCTTTTCTGCAACATCAAACCCAAATTATTACTTGTAAACTATTTTTCAGTAGATTTTGTACTCCCAACAAACAAAACAATAGTAGCTCCAATCTCCAATCTTTCTGGCCTCCAAAGGAGATGAAAGTGGAAGAAAAGAACAGAGAAAAAGGGCAAAACTTTCCCTTTTACCAAACAAAAGACAGAAAGTGAAAGTCTGAATTTTTTCCCCCATTTGGATTCCTTCACTTTGATCTCTCACGCTCTCTGCAGCTCTGCTCCCCCATTTTTGTTTTTTTCGATTTGGGTTTGTAAAGCCGAGCCAAGAGGTTAGTGGGTTTGTTTGATTTTGGTTACTTTTCTACCAAAAAAAAAAAGAAGGGTTAGTGGGTTTCTCTATCCTCCATATAGTTTTTGGTTTTTTTTGTTATTAGTAGATTCGGTAGAATTGAATGTGGTTCAGGTTGTGTTTCTGGTAGAGATCATACCTAATCATTGGTGGGTCTTTGGCCTCTTCTGGTTTGTTATTGCCTTTTATTTTGAAAACACTATTATATATCTGTTAATTTTTTTGGCAAAAGTTAAAGGATACTAAAGTTTTGTTCCATCATTTCTGTATAATGGAAAGAACAATAGATTTAGATGACTTTGATTGCATATACCCAGAATTTTCTTTTATTTCTTGTACTCTTTTCTGGAAATTTGAGTTGTACTGTTAATATGAGTAAACCTATATTGTGATTTTGAGTTTTTATTTTTTTTTATAGAAGTTCTGTTGCTTTGGTCGGTTGGGAGAGTTTTTGAGTTGAGGGAAGTGTTTGTGAACAAAATGAGGTGTTTTTGTTTCCAATTCTGCTGATTTTTGAGTTTTGAGTGAAACACTTTTGGGTATTGTGGAGATCTGGGACTTGTTTCAACTCTTTGTCCCATGAGGACTTTCTTACCCTCTGAATCTTGTAAAGAAACACAGCTCAATGCTGTCAGTCCACAGTCATGGCTCCAAGTTGAAAGAGGGAAATTTTCCAAATTCTCATCTCAGTCTCAGTCACAGTCTTCCATGTAAGCTCTCCTTCTCAATTCTCTTTCAAAATATCGTAAACTTTCTTCTATTTTCATTCAATTAAGATATGCACTTTTTTTTTTTCCTCCTGTTGTTTGTAGAGAATCTTTTATCAAGGTCCCAGAACCACCGGTTCTTCCATTCTTTAAACCAGTTGATTATGTAGAAATTTTAGCTCAAATTCATGAAGAAATAGAGTCATGCCCTCCACATGGGAGGTCAAATCTCTATTTGTTGCAATATCAGGTCTTTAAGGGTCTCGGGGAATCCAAGCTGATGCGAAGAAGCCTTCGATCAGCTTGGACAAAGGCAAGAACAGTCCATGAGAAAATTGTCTTTGGAGCATGGTTGAAGTATGAGAAGCAAGGTGAAGAGCTCATCACTGACCTAGTTTCCTCTTGTGGTAAATATGTTAAGGAGTTTAGGCAGATAGATATAGCCTCTGAGCTCCCTACTGATACAAAATTGAGCTCCATTGGAGCTATCGCGATGAATGGAAATCGGGTTTCAAGAACTGTCTCTTTCTGGGTTGGAGATGAGAAAATAGAATGCGATAGGCAGAAGATTGCGGGCCTGTCGGATCCATTTAATGCTATGCTTAATGGGGGTTTCACGGAATCACTGTGTGAGGACATAGATTTTTCTAAAAATAATATTTCTCCATCGGGTATGAGGGTGATCAGTGAGTTCAGCATGATGGGAAGTATAAATGAAGTTGCCTCAAAGCTATTATTAGAAATCTTGGTGTTTGCCAACAGATTTTGCTGTGAAAGGCTCAAAGATGCTTGTGATCAGAAGCTTGCTTCTTTGGTTTCCTCCAAACAAGATGCCGTGGAACTAATGGAATGCGCTCTTGACGAGAATTGTCCTGTCCTTGCTGCATCATGTTTGCAAGTGTTTTTGCACGAACTTCCCGATTCTCTCAATGATAATCAGGTAGTTCAACTACTATGCAATGCTAACAGGCAACATAGATTAATCATGGTTGGTCTGGCATCATTTTCACTCTACTGTTTGTTAAGTGAAGTTGCCATGAACCTGAATCCTCAGTCAGATAATACAGTTCTGTTCTTGGAAAGACTGATAGAGTGTGCTGAAACTAATCGGCACAGATCTGTGGCATATCATCAATTGGGATGTGTCAGACTCCTGAGGAAAGAATATGATGTCGCTGAAGAGCTCTTTGAGGCAGCTTTAAATGCAGGCCACGTTTATTCTGTTGTTGGTTTGGCCAGACTTGGTTACATTAAGGGCCACAAGATTTGGTCTTATGAGAAGCTTAGTTCTGTTATTTCCTGTGGTACTCCACTTGGATGGATGTACCAAGAGAGGTCACTATATTGTGAAGGCAATAAGAGGTGGGAAGACCTTGAAAAAGCAACTGAATTGGATCCAACACTTACTTATCCCTATATGTATCGAGCTGCATCGTTGATGAAGAAGCAAAATGATCAAGCTGCCCTAGCGGAAGTCAATCGGGTACTTGGGTTCAAACTAGCATTAGAATGCTTGGAACTCCGATTTTGTTTCTATCTGGCTCTTGAGGACTATGGAGCAGCACTTCGTGACGCTCAGGCTATTCTTACGCTTTCCCCAAATTATAGGATGTTTGAGGGAAGAGTTTCAGCTTCCCAACTCTGTGTTCTTGTGCGTGAACATGTCGAGCATTGGACAACAGCAGATTGTTGGTTACAATTGTATGATAGGTGGTCTTCGGTTGATGATATTGGATCACTATCCATAATTTATCAAATGCTTGAATCTGATGCAGCGAAGGGAGTTCTATACTTCAGACAGTATTTACTTCTCCTCAGGTATGTTCTGGGTATTTAATTTTTTGAACCTCAAAGTTTGCAATTTTTTTTACACTAGTTTGTCAAACCTTTTATTTCCATATCTTCAATAATATGTTGGACTTGTCTGCTGATTAATAGTTCACACTTGGTTAGATGCAGAACCTATTAAATAGTTACTACATTCTCGTTTGATTTGTATTTGTGATTTATTGATTCTCATGGACATGTTATTTTTATCTACCGACCAACATAATTTGGCTTATTAATTTTACTGTCTCAAACACCCCACCCCTTTCTCCTCTTTCCTTCCTACATGCACACATTGAAAGTGCATGAAAGTTCATATTGTCCATTAGTGGAAACCAGTCGTCTATGTACACTCTGTTTTTCATGTCAAAACCCCTTACGCATGCATTTCCTAGTTTGTGAAGATGGCGAAAATATATATAATTCCACTTTCTGGTCAAAACATCCATGGCAAAACCCTATATACATGCAGTTGCTGCAAGTAATGGATATTTTCCACCAAACATCTCATCCACATCTCTGTCACTAAACCTTATTTTAAATTGGAGACATAGACTCTTTCGGTATGATAGACAACTTTTTTATTTCAATCCATGAATACAAGAGAAAGAAATGCCCTCATTTAAAGTTGCTTTTATTAATCCTGACTTACAATTTTCTCAAGCGAACGATGAATCCTGGGTTATTTTTAGCAGCCAATAATCCTTCTATTTTGATTTTTGTTTCTAGGCTCATGTCCCCACAAAGTAAATTTAGATATCATGTAAAAGGTTTTGAAACTAATAAAGAACACTAATATAGTTTCCTATAAATAAAAAAAATTATCCTGATCTGATCCTAAGTTCCTGTTTATTTGATATTAATTTCTCCTTTGATTTTTCAATTGAGAACATTGACTATTTTTTTGTGATTTGTCCAATAAACAGAAGAAAAATACTACTACTCTAGTACATATATTGTTTGTTTATTTTTTTCCTTCATTGGTAACAAATGAAATTTTATTAAAGAAAATAAAGAGAAACCGAAGCCTAAAAAGAGGACATATATCCCATAAAGAATCAATTTCCTCGAACTTATACACTCTAGTACATATATTGTTAAAGGAACTAATCTAATGATTACTCTTGATCAGATTAAATTGTCCAGAAGCAGCCATGCAAAGTTTACAGTTGGCTCGCCAACACGCATCAAGTGAACATGAACGTTTAGTTTATGAGGGATGGATCTTATATGATATGGGTCATTGTGAGGAAGGGCTACGGAAAGCAGAGGACTCTATAAGTCTTATGAGATCTTTCGAGGCCTTCTTTTTGAAAGCCTATGCATTGGCAGATTCTAGCCACGATTCATCTTGTTCTTCTACTGTAATATCAATTCTTCAAGATGCCTTGAAGTGCCCCTCAGATCGGCTTCGAAAGGGTCAGGTATGGTTTTCTCTTACCCTATATTTCATCGAGGCTGCAACTTGCAATACAATTAATCATTATGGAATAGTCATCTAGAATAGTAGTTACGCTCCGTTTGTTTGGGTGGAAAGTATTTTTTGGAAAACTTTTTCCATATTTTCTGGCATTTGTATGATGGAAAATGAAAGCCAACAGAAAACAAACTTTTGAGTGGAAAAATGTTTTCCACTGTTGAAAGGTGGGAAATGTTTTCTAAACTAAAGTCTTACCAATGTCACCACACTACCGCTGCTACCACCTCCACCACAACTGCAACCCCAGCCTCACCACCACCACTATCAACCAGACATTGGAAAATGTTTTCTACAGATTTGAAAAAAAAATTCCACTGAGCTTTAATTGGAAACATCACAGCAAGAATGAAACTAGAACTCGGTTATGTGGGGGAGAAAGGCAAAACATATATGAAGACACTACAAAATAGATTTTAATCTGTAATTAGATGGAATGGAATAACAGAGTAAGAGTTGAGTGACAGGACTAGGATTTGAGGAAGTCATATGGTAACTGGTAATCAGAATTTAGCCGACGATCAAAAACTAAAGGATTCATCCACTAAAATAGCATAACCAAGGCAACAAGGTAACATTCTTTCAAGAAAAGTTCTGTGAAAAAGGTAATCATTTGTTAGAAAGAGGGGATTATGAGAGATTTTCAACTTTGAGCATGTTCAAAGCAAATTTGAGAAAAAAAATAATTCTAGTCTCATCAAACTTAGATTCAAACTACATAGATTTTGACTATTGACAAATATCTGGATTGATGAAACTTGAGTAAGACTAAAATCCAAGCTGCACAATTATCAACTAACAAGTACATTGCTGATTTAGAGATTTTTTCTTCACTTCAATCTGTCCTGTAGCATAGCATAAAATAAATAAATAAATAAACCAAAATTTCTAATATTGGCTAATCCTTGTCTGATTGTTGAAATTTTCAGGCTCTGAACAATCTTGGAAGTGTTTTTGTTGACTGTGGGAAACTAGACTTGGCAGCTGATTGCTACATCGATGCCCTTAAAATCCAGCACACCCGAGCCCACCAGGGTCTTGCTCGGGTCCACTTTCTCAGAAACAATAAGACCGCTGCATATGAGGAAATGACTAAACTGATTGAGAAGGCTCGGAACAATGTGTCTGCCTATGAGAAGAGGTCAGAATACAGTGAACGTGAACTCACAAAGGCTGATCTAGAGATGGTCACTCATTTAGATCCCCTCCGCGTCTATCCTTACAGATATCGAGCTGCAGGTTAGACATTTTCCTACAGTTTCTTTAGTAAATTTTAATGCTTTCTATATGATGTCGCCATGAAGCAAGCTCAAAAGTACCTGTTAGTTCCTCAACACCGTAGGTTTTAATGTATGTGTGTGTGTGTCTTCTCTCTGCAAGGAAAATGATTTTGGTTGGAATCTGAAGTCATGAATTTTATTCGTTGTATTTCAAATAATTTTGGACCCTTTGATTTGCAGATCACATCCCTCACTTTTTGAGAGCGATCAAATATTTTTAAAAAAAAAATGATTCTTCTTTTTCTTCGCCAAAGCTTGGTAGTCCGAATTTTCATAGCCCGAATGGCTCGAATATCTCAAAACGACGTCGTTTTAAAACAACATCGTTTTGGGGATAAAACGACGTCGTTTTGATACATTCGAGCCATTTGGACGACACAAATTCAAGTTACCAAACATTTTTCTTAACATTATTGTCGTGTTAAGTTGTTTTCATGTTATTTGGTATTGAACCGGATTGTGTTTTTTTGTTTTTGGGTTTGGTTAGTGTTGATGGACAACCACAAGGAAAAAGAAGCGATAGCGGAATTGTCAAGAGCAATTGCATTCAAAGCGGACCTCAACCTGCTACACTTGAGGGCAGCATTTCACGAGCATATCGGTGATGTTATGGGTGCCTTGCGAGACTATCGAGTTGCTGTCTCTGTTGACCCAAACCATGAGATGCTGGAACTTCACAGCAGTCGAGAGCCATGAACCCCCAAAACACAAAATAGAAAAAAAAAAAAAAAAAAAATGTGTTTTTTTTTAATGTTTTTTTTAAAATTTTAAATATTGTATCACCATTGTATATTTTGTGAGCATGTGCAATGTAATGTCCAGGTTTATCTTCTTTATAATTTTTTGGTAATCAACATCATGGACTGTCCGCGCCACTGTTTCCTTCATACTTTTCCAAATGGCATGGATTCATCAAGAATCAACACACTTAAACCTACGGTAGAGTGAGTGTTAATTTATTTAGGAATGGATCAACTAAGATCCAAATTCTGTCATGTTATGTCATGTTTGTTTGGGTGGATATGAGATTGGGATTGGACTAATAGTCCAATAAAATTATTAATCCGATATTTGGTTAAATAATTGAAGTACGGATTAATTATTTTAAACTTGACTATTAGTTAAGATAGGATACATAATCCAACAAATTCATAGTCCTAGGACTATTAGTCATGGGAATGTTAATTCAGTCCACTCAAACAAACATGTCCTTAGTGTAGATAATTTAGTTGTAACATTTTAGGAATTAAGGGTATGTTTGATTGACAAGATTAGAGCATGTGATTGGGATTATGTGGATTCAACAATTTTGTGTTTGTTTTAAAATTTTATTTCAGAATTATTAATTTAATGAATAATTAATTTAACAAATTTGTAAGATTATTAGTAATGGGATAAGGGTGAGATTATATATTTTAAGTTGGGAAATAAAATAAAAATATTTTTTTACCCTTGATCAAAAATTAAAATACTTATTATTTTTTATATTTTAGTAGGCTAAAAATAATTTTTAAAAATTTAAAAATAATTTTTGATTATATTTATCAAATTAGTTTATATTTAAAAAAAAATAAAAGTAAAAAATAAACAAAACATGGCCTTTGTATTTTGCTTTTATTTATTTATATTTTTTTTTCAAAACCACGTTTATGAAGAAATTTTGATAAGTAAAGATTGTGAAGAAGCATTGATAGAGAGTAAGATTAGAAAAGAAGATAAATATAGTTGTAATGTTGCATTCATATATTTTCTTGTTCAATACAAATCAAACAATGGATAAGGAGATAATTTATCCTACTATTCTAATTAGATAATGAATAACATACTAATTTAATGAAATTATTAATTCATTCATTATTAATTTTGTAAATCAAACATGACCCAAGAGTACTACTACTAACAAAATAAAGACACGTGCGAGCAAGGTTTATAGTTGCAAAAGATTGAGAGTGAGAATGACCAAGAAGGGACCGTTGGAATTAGGGGTGCAACTCGGGTGGGTTCGGTCGGGTTGAGAGGTTGTCCAAGCCCAGCCCAAGTTGTGCTGAGACCTGTCCAAGCCCGCCCAAGCCCGAATTGTAATCCGAGGATATCTGCACAAGCCCGACCCGAGTTAACCCCGAATTACCCGATTTGCCCGAATTGTAAATGAATTTTAGTTTTAGTTTTTTTTTTTTTTTTGTGTGTGTGTGTGTGTGCAGCTACATTATTAAATTATTAAAATTTGACTCTATTTACATTTTATTTTTTATTTTTTTATAGAAAATCATTAATACCATCAAAACAAATAATTTATATAATATGAGAGATATGCTATTATAATGCCTGTTTGGTGCAGCTTAAAAGCTGCTTATTTCAGCTTTTCGCTTAATTTAAGCTATTTTGATGTGTTTGGTTTAGCTTATAGCTTACAGCTTATAGTTTTTTGGAAGTCAGAAATCAGTTTATTCTTTGAGTAGGGCAGGAGATGCTTAATTTATAAGTCAGAAATCAACTTATGTTCATAGTTATAAGCTATAAGCTGTTTAGGCATAAGCGATAAGAACTTTCTCACAGTTCTACCAAACAGGGCCATAGTAGTCCTTACAACTTATGAGTGAAAATAAAAAGAAAAAAAAGTAAGATTTTATGTTATTTGTATATATAATATACATTCAATATGATTTAATAATTAAATTACTTTAATATCATGTAATGGCTAACAATTTATATGTATATTTATATTTTTATATATTTATATATCTATAATTCGGGCTTCGGGTTGTTTGGGTTATTTAACGTCTTTGCCCAAGCCCGCCCAAATTTAATTCCGGCTTTTGAATTTTTGCCCAAGCCCGCACCGAATTTAAAAATATTTTGTCTAAGCCCTAAAAAAACTCGGGCTGAACTCAAATTGCTCGGGTTGAACCCGCGCACATTACACCCCTAGCTGAAGTAGAGAATGTTTAGAAGGGGTTGCTGGGGTAAGGCAAATGAGAAAATGAAAATTTGTTTTAAAAATGCGTCTCTTTCCGTTTCAAAATAATAATTTATTTTAGAAAATTTAACTTTTTTTAACAATACAATTATTGTAATTTTAAAAAATTAATTTTTCAAAATTATCCTTCAATAGTATATTTTTAAAAAAATATCAATTGCCATAATTATACTTTTTATGTTATTGATGAATTTAAAAAAAGGCAAAATAAAAAATTTATATTATTTTTGTCCATAATTTTTGAAAAATAACTAATATTTTGAGACAGAGAAAAATGAAATAAGAAACTAATATTTTAAAACGGAAGGAATATATATATATCCATGTAGCAAATCATTTCTATGAAAATTATGACCCATTTTTTATGTTTTTGTCTTGTTAAAACTTAACTCACCTTATTAGTTCATATAATTGATTTTTTTTTCTCCTATGGTAACATTTAAGGAAATATATTGGGAAAAAAACTTTTGGAATCGTTTTGGATCACTAAATTTACCATTTTGGAATAGAAGTGTACCATTTTTCGGAACGTGCGTACCAATACGTAATTTGTTAGGGTATTAGTGTTTTCTAGTAACATACGTTGTGTATATTTTTAAACTACAAGGAGGTAATGTGTTTTTGAGCTAAATCATAGGGAGGTAAAGTGTAATTAACCGTAGTGAATTTTAAATTTCTTCCAAGAATTTACAACCCCCATTGAACAAAATAATACAATCCATATACATAGAATTAACATCGATTCCAAAAAATAAAGAAATAAAAGGAAAAAATTTCATCATATTAGACTCGAGGGTCTTGGTCTGTAGAAACAACAAATAATTCAAAATTCGGAAAGAAAAACAAAAATTTACTTGAACTGCTATAGGAAAGTAACTCTAACAGCAAAACTTCTTAAAAGGTTTCAATTTTATTTCTAGGACATTGAGATAAAAAGTCAAGTTACAAAAAAATCACTATGTAAGCATGTAAAAAATTAATAATGATGTCTTGCGCATTCTGAAATGGTAGAATAAACAATCCAACAGCTGCCTTTTGAGTACAGAACAAAAACAAATGTAACAAACATTTAGAAGACCTACCTATCTTGCAAATGTATGGATCCACATAGGCACGACGCCCCCAAAAATATTCCTTTTGAGGAATTCCACCAAACACTCCTCCAACAAGCATACTGAAGTCGAACAATATGGGATTGAAAGCCTACATGCCAAGATAACATAAAAGCTTTTACAACATTTTTCAAAAAGTTTTTTTTTTTAATTTTTACACATAAATGTCAAGTTTAGCATATTGCAAAAAAGTCAAAAAGTTAAAAAGTTACTCAAAAAGTTAAAAAGTTAACACTATTCACCAAAAGTCAATAATTACGGCTGCACAACTCCCAATCCTAATTTTCTCCTACAAACCAATTTTTACAATTTTTTATTACACATTTTTCTATAAAAAGTCAAAAAGTTAACCCAAACATTTATATTTTCCTCCTCAATTTTTTAGTCTAAAAAGACAAAAAGTGCACTTATTTAGGACACCCCAAACAACTTCTAAATTTAGATATCATGTAAAAGGTTTTGAAACTAATAGAGAACACTAATATAGTTTCCTATAAATAAAAAAAATTATCCTGATCTGATCCTAAGTTCCTGTTTATTTGATATTAATTTCTCCTTTGATTTTTCAATTGAGAACATTGACTATTTTTTTATGATTGTCCAATAAACAGAAGGAAAATACTACTACTCTAGTACATATATTGTTTGTTTATTTTTTTCCTTTATTGGTAACAAATGAAATTTTATTAAAGAAAATAAAAAGCAGAATCCCCTTAAAAGGAGGAGAAATCGAAGCCTAAAAGGAGGACAAATATCCCATAAAGAATCAATTTCCTCGAACTTATACACTCTAGTACATATATTGTTAAAGGAACTAATCTCATGATTACTCTTGATCAGATTAAATTGTCCAGAAGCAGCCATGCAAAGTTTACAGTTGGCTCGCCAACACGCATCAAGTGAACATGAACGTTTAGTTTATGAGGGATGGATCTTATATGATATGGGTCATTGTGAGGAAGGGCTACGGAAAGCAGAGGACTCTATAAGTCTTATGAGATCTTTTGAGGCCTTCTTTTTGAAAGCCTATTGTAGACACTCCATTTTTGACCGACCTTAAGACTCAGATGTTACCAGTTGAGCACTCGGTGATATTGCATATTGTGCTCGTTCAGAAGTTTCAAAGTCCCGACTGCGAGTCTTGCCTCGGTTTGCGAACCAGGCTCTGTTTTCGACCGGTTCACCGGTTTAACCGGTGGGTTCACCGGTTTTCACTAAAGAGGCCGGTTTTTACCTTTGGCCGGTTTAAGGGGGCTGACCGGACCGGAACCCCATCCGGTCACCGGTTCAACCGGTTGAACCGGCCGGTCCGGTCCGGTTTTTAAAACCATGATCCTAAGTTCCTGTTTATTTGATATTAATTTCTCCTTTGATTTTTCAATTGAGAACATTGACTATTTTTTTGTGATTTGTCCAATAAACAGAAGAAAAATACTACTACTCTAGTACATATATTGGGGGTGTTTGGGAAGAAAAAAAATAGCCTAGTTTAGGCTAAAAATCACAAAAAGACAAAATAGACTAAAATAGCTAATAAGACAAAATATCACATCAAATCCATAATCATTTCACTTTTTCTCTCACAAACATCACATCCAACCATAAAAAATCCAATCATCTTCCAAAACACAAAAATTTTAGCCTACTAAAATAGCCAAAAACTAAAATAGCCTACTAAAATAGCCACTTCCCAAACGAGGCCATTGTTTGTTTATTTTTTTCCTTTATTGGTAACAAATGAAATTTTATTAAAGAAAATAAAAAGCAGAAACCCCTTAAAAGGAGGAGAAACCGAAGCCTAAAAAGAGGACATAAAGAATCAATTTCCTCGAACTTATACACTCCAGTACATATATTGTTAAAGGAACTAATCTCATGATTACTCTTGATCAGATTAAATTGTCCAGAAGCAGCCATGCAAAGTTTACAGTTGGCTCGTCAACACGCATCAAGTGAACATGAACGTTTAGTTTATGAGGGATGGATCTTATATGATATGGGTCATTGTGAGGAAGGGCTACGGAAAGCTGAGGACTCTATAAGTTTTATGAGATCTTTTGAGGCCTTCTTTTTGAAAGCCTATGCATTGGCAGATTCTAGCCATGATTCATCTTGTTCTTCTACTGTCATATCAATTCTTCAAGATGCCTTGAAGTGCCCCTCAGATCGACTTCGAAAGGGTCAGGTATGGTTTTCTCTTACCCTATCTTTCATCGAGGCTGCAACTTGCAATACAATTAATCATTATGGAATAGTCATCTACAATAGTAGTTACACCCCGTTTGTTTGGGTGGAAAATATATTTTGGAAAACTTTTTCCATATTTTCTGGCATTTGTATGATGGAAAATGAAAGTCAACAGAAAACAAACTTTTGAGTGGAAAAATGTTTTCCACTGTTGAAAGGTGGGAAATGTTTTCTAAACTAAAGTCTTACCAATGTCACCACACTACCGCTGCTACCACCTCCACCACAACTGCAACCCCAACCTCACCACTACCACTATCAACCAGACATTGGAAAATGTTTTCTACAGATTTGAAAAAAAAAAATTCACTGAGCTTTAATTGGAAACATCACAGCAAGAATGAAACTAGAACTCGGTTATGTTGGGGAGAAAGGCAAAACATATATGAAGGCACTACAAAATAGATTTTAATCTGTAATTAGATGGAATGGAATAACAAAGTAAGAGTTGAGCGACAGGACTAGGATTTGAGGAAGTCATATGGTAACTGGTAATCAGAATTCAGCCGACGGTCAAAACTAAAGGATTCATCCACTAAAATAGCATAACAAGGCAACAAAGTAACATTCTTTCAAGAAAAGTTCTGTGAAAAAGGTATTCATTTGTTAGAAAGAGGGGATTATGAGAGATTTTCAACTTTGAGCATGTTCAAAGAAAATTTGAGAAAAAAATAATTCTAGTCTCATCAAATTTAGATTCAAACTACATAGATTTTGACTATTGACAAATATCTGGATTGATGAAACTTGAGTAAGACTAAAATCCAAGCTGCACAATTATCAACTAACAAGTACATTGCTGATTTAGAGATTTTTTCTTCACTTCAATTTGTTCCTGTAGCATAGCATAAACTAATAAAAATAAAAAATAAATAAACCAAAATTTCTAATATTGGCTAATCCTTGTCTGATTGTTGAAATTTTCAGGCTCTGAACAATCTTGGAAGTGTTTATGTTGACTGTGGGAAACTAGACTTGGCAGCTGATTGCTACATCGATGCCCTTAAAATCCGGCACACCCGAGCCCACCAGGGTCTTGCTCGGGTTCACTTTCTCAGAAACAATAAGACCGCTGCATATGAGGAAATGACTAAACTGATTGAGAAGGCTCAGAACAATGTGTCTGCCTATGAGAAGAGGTCAGAATACAGTGAACGTGAACTCACAAAGGCTGATCTAGAGATGGTCACTCATTTAGATCCCCTCCGCGTCTATCCTTACAGATATCGAGCTGCAGTTTAGACATTTTCCTACAGTTTCTTTAGTAAATTTTAATGCTTTCTATATGATGTTGCCATGAAGCAAGCTCAAAAGTACCTGTTAGTTCCTCAACACCGTAGGTTTTAATGTATGTGTGTGTGTGTCTTCTCTGCAAGGAAAATGATTTTGGTTGGAATCTGAAGTCATGAATTTTATTCGTTGTATTTCAAATAATTTTGGACCCTTTGATTTGCAGATCACATCCCTCACTTTTTGAGAGCGATCTGATATTTAAAAAAAAAAATGATTCTTCTTTTTCTTTGCCGAAGCTTGGTAGTCCGAATTTTCATAGCCCGAATTGCTCGAATATCTCAAAACGACGTCGTTTTAAAACAACATCGTTTTAGGGATAAAACGATGTCGTTTTGATACATTCGAGTCATTTGGACGACACAAATTCAAGTTACCAAACATTTTTCTTAACATTATTGTCGAGCAAGGATCCTCTACAGATTTTTTTTCTTAAAGTTTCTTAGAGTGGTGCATTGTGTGGTTGAGATTTAATGACAAGTCACATCAATTTTTCAACATTAAATCTCAACTACGCAATACACCACTTTAAGAAACTTTAAGAAAAAAACACTTTAGAGGATCCTTAGTGATTATTGTCATGTAAAGTTGTTTTCATGTTATTTGGTATTGAACCGGATTGTGTTTTTTTGTTTTTGGGTTTGGTTAGTGTTGATGGACAACCACAAGGAAAAAGAAGCGATAGCGGAATTGTCGAGAGCGATTGCATTCAATGCAGACCTCAACCTGCTACACTTGAGGGCAGCATTTCACGAGCATATCGGTGATGTTATGGGTGCCTTGCGAGACTATCGAGTTGCTGTCTCTGTTGACCCAAACCATGAGATGCTGGAACTTCACAGCAGTCGAGAGCCATGAACCCCCAAAACACAAAATAGAAAAAAAAAAAAAAAAAAATGTGTTTTTTTTTAATGTTTTTTTTAAAATTTTAAATATTGTATCACCATTGTATATTTTGTGAGCGTGTGCAATGTAATGTCCATGTTTATCTTCTTTATAATTTTTTGGTAATCAATATCATGAACTGTCCTCGCCACTGTTTCCTTCGTACTTTTTCAAATGGCATGGATTCATCAAGAATTAACACTTAAAACTACAGTAGAGTGAGTGTTAATTTATTTAGGAGTGTTAATTTATTTAGGAATGGATCAACTAAGATCCAAATCCTGTCATGTTAGTGTAGATAATTTAGTCGTAACATTTTAGGAATTAAGGATATGTTTGGTTGACATGATTAGAGCATGTGATTGGGATTATGTGAATTTAATAATTTTGTGTTTGTTTTAAAATTTTATTTCAGAATTATTAATCTAATGGATAATTAATTCAACAAATTTGTAAGATTATTAGTAATGGGATAAGGATGAGATTATATATCTTAAGTAGGGAAATAAAATAAAAAGATTTTTTTACCCTTGACCAAAAATTAAAATACTTATTATTTTAATATTTTGGTAGGCTAAAAATAATTTTTAAAAATTTAAAAATAATTTTTGATATATATTTATCAAATTATTTATATTTTAAAAAAAATAAAAGTAAAAAATAAACCAAACATAGCCTTTGTATTTTGTATTTTGCTTTTATTTATTTATATTTTTTTTTCAAAACCACGTGTTTATGAAGAAATTTTGATAAGTAAAGATTGTGAAGAAATATTGATAAAGGGTAAGATTAAAAAAGAAGATAAATATAGGGAAAATTTACCCATAAGTCTTAGTTTCTGAAAAGTTGAACCATTTAGTCCTAAAAGTTTTCTTATGCTCCATTTAGTCCCATTTGCACATCAATCTAATGTTCGAAACATTAATCTGATGTTCGAAATCTAATGTTCGAAACATTAATCTGATGTTTGAAATCTAATGTTCGAAATATTAATCTGATGTTTGAAATGTTGTAATGTGACCTTTCAGTCTATAAGAAAACTTTTAGGACTAAACAGTGTATAAGTTATTAATTTGAAATTTATTGGTGCATTCCCCTAAATATAGTTGTAATGTTACGTTCATATATTTTCTTGTTCAATACAAATCAAACAGTGGATAAGGAGATAATTTATCTTACTATTCTAATTAGATAATGAATAACATACTAATTTAATGAAAATTTTAATTCATTCACTATTAATTTTGTAAATCAAACATGACCCAAAGTACTACTACTAACAAAAAAAAGACTCGTGCGAGCAAGGCTTACGGTTGCAAAAGATTGAGAGTGAGAATGACCAAGAAGGGACTGTTGGAGTAGAGAATGTTTAGAAGGGGTTGCTGGGGTAAGGCAAATGAGAAAATGAAAATTTGTTTTAAAAATGCGTCTCTTTCCGTTTCAAAATAATAATTTATTTTAGAAAATTTAACTTTTTTTAACAATACAATTATTGTAATTTTAAAAAATTAATTTTTCAAAATTATCCTTCAATAGTATATTTTTAAAAAAATATCAATTGCCATAATTATACTTTTTATGTTATTGATGAATTTAAAAAAAGGCAAAATAAAAAATTTATATTATTTTTGTCCATAATTTTTGAAAAATAACTAATATTTTGAGACAGAGAAAAATGAAATAAGAAACTAATATTTTAAAACGGAAGGAATATATATATATATATATATCATGTTTTCATTTTTTTTCCAAAATTTTAAAACTATTGCATTTTTTGGCAACAAAAATCATTATCAAATGAGTTTTGGTCTTCAATTTTCAAAATTTTTAAAAACGAAAGCATTACTAAATAGGCATTGGATTCAAACACTCGTTGCTAACAAAAGCATATTGCAACAATAACTGAGTTCGAGAAGAAAATTATACAAAGATAACCTATATCAAGAAAAAAAGAATATGATTTACAAGTTATGTAATCATGTTACTGCAATTTCAATTGACATTACTGTACATGTCCGGAACAATATCACAAATAAATATATATATATATATACATATATATATATTTACAAGTAGTTTATGCAAAGTGACAACACATATGTACAAATTCTGAACTCAATGCCATCTTTGTTGCAAAATTCCAACTGATTCTGTTTGCCATATCCCGAAAGAACTCTCATCACCAGATACTGGATAAAGCAACGCCCATTTTCAATTAAGCACCCGAATGTGGTGCCACATCGCAGCAGTCCGTCCAGAGAGGCACCTAGCACCTGAAAATTTAGGACAAATCCTAGGTTTCAACACATTCAACATTCCAATTGTAGCAAACATTTTTTTATAAAGCTTCATAATTCTGGTGTGTGAACATCTTTCCAATGAAGTAACTATGTACCCAAAGTCACAGAGAAGTGAGTTGAAGAACCTACAGCAAATTAAAAAACATGGTTTATTAACATAGTACAGTCTTCTATGTTTAGTTCGTACAACAAAATAAAGTACCTTTTAAGCACATACAACTCAATTTTGTGACAAGGGGTGCATAAACTAGACCTTCCCATGAGTTCACCCTTTGGGTTGGGGTTGGAAATAAGGATGCTGCAAAGCCTCATCAACACTCGATCGCTCATCCTACAATTCCAAAGCAAACAAACCACCATTATGTTCAAATATGTTATTAATACACAACTGACATTCTTTTGAACTGTAGGTTCGTGAATAAAAACAATCAAATGTAAGTTTACATGAGTTACAGCCAAGTATTGAAACAGCACAGCAACATAGCAAGAAAGATGGCATTTCTGAATCCAATTAATCTTTTGACAACAGATAGTCATTGACAAAAACCTCCAATCTTAAACATGAAACCTCAAATAGATAATTTATCCATGTGTAGGTGGAAAAACTCTTGATATAATAAATTATTGTACTCCAGGATATATAGTTCTACCAAACTTTGCTACTTTTAAAATAAAGCATACAGAGAAAAAGGGGTAGCCCAAGTGGTATGACCCACCATTACCTGACAGAAGGTCTGGGTTTCAAGTCTCCCCCCTCCCCCCTAGGTTAGAAAAATTAATTATGTTGTATGAATCTCCTCAAAAAATAAAGCATACATTTCATATATCGGTTTTATTCTCTTTGCAATGAGTGAGGGCTATACTGTCTGTTCATATCAATGGACTAGCAGTCATTATTTCCTTCAGTGGCTGACCATTTTAGTATTAAAAAGTTAGAATAATATAGAGAAAATTTATTCATTATTGTTATGTTCCTTTATTTCTGAATGTTCTAATTAGAATTAGAATTTAAATCCTCATAACTTGCAATTTTGAACAGCACTAGAGTTAGAACGTTTCTATGTGTCTTTTACAGGTGTCATAGAGACAAAAACACGTGATAGTTGTACAGCATCTGGACAATTGGAAATCATTTACTATGAAGTTGAGGTTCAAGCTGGAAATTCTTGAACTTGAAAAATATTTTATGTGCACCATATAGGAAGAGGTGTGATTGCCACCTAGAGTCTCCTCTGAACTAAAAGAAAGAAAATTGCCCATAGAAGAGTGTAAGGATGTCTGACTGATACTTGGGGCAAGGGACAGCAAGAATTGAAGTATCCTCCATACTATTTGTAAGAATACAATAGAGAACAAAATTGAAGCATATTATAGACCCATGGGTGTAAATCAATGCATTTCAAATCATTTTGATATATCATTGCCGTTCTAAGACCACAACTACAATAATGCCTCGTATGGACAAAGGGGTTAGGTACACACGCTAGGAGCAATACTGAGTTGTTATATTTGTAATTTAAAAGCATTATTTAATGTAAATATAATAATGAATTGAAGTGGCATAAACTAATTTCTTCAATGAACAATATTTATTGTGGAATATCAATAATTAGTCTAATCTTCAACTTCGGATTAACAGCAAATAGATGTCGCAAAAAAAACAGAGAAGCAAATTATTCAATGGTTTCTTATTGGGCATTAACTAAGTGTTACCAACAATAATAGTCCTTAAGAAAATCTACCATTGTGTCATGAATTTGCAGTCAATCCTCAAGCCAACATGAAAACTGATGACATTCACCATTCATTTATTAAGTTAATAAAAACCACAGATGTCACGACTTACTGGATCCCAAACTAATAATTGGCATACTAATCGCAAAGCCCAAACATTAGGAAAAACACGTGATAGTTGTACAGCATCTGGACAATTGGAAATCATTTACTATGAAGTTGAGGTTCAAGCTGGAAATTCTTGAACTTGAAAATTATTTTATGTGCACCATATAGGAAGAGGTGTGATTGCCACCTAGAGTCTCCTCTGAGCTAAAAGAAAGAAAATTGCCTATAGAAGAGTGTAAGGATGTCTGACTGATACTTAGGGCCAGGGACAGCAAGAATTGTAGTATCCTTCATAATATTTGTAAGAATACAATAGAGAACAAAATTGAAGCATATTATAGACCCATGGGGTGTAAATCAATGCATTTCAAATCATTTTGATATATCATTGCCGTTCTAAGACCACAACTACAATAATGCCTCGTATGGACAAAGGGGTTAGGTACACACGCTAGGAGCAATACTGAGTTGTTATATTTGTAATTTAAAAGCATTATTTAATCTAAGTATAATAATGAATTGAAGTGGCATAAACTAATTTCTTCAATGAACAATATTTATTGTGGAATATCAATAATTAGTCTAATCTTCAACTTCGGATTAACAGCAAATAGATGTCGCAAAAAAAACAGAGAAGCAAATTATTCAATGGTTTCTTATTGGGCATTAACTAACTGTTACCAACAATAATAGTCCTTACGAAAATCTACCATTGTGTCATGAATTTGCAGTTAATCCTCCAGCAAAAATGAAAACTGATGACATTCACCATTCATTTATTAAGTAAATAAAAAACACAGATGTCACGACTTACTGGATCCCAAACTAATAACTGGCGTACTAATCGCAAAGCCCAAACATTAGGAAACCTGCACAAATTGAGAAACAAGCTTATGACAAACCAAAATTACCAGTGAATATAAAATATAGTTGTTATATAAAAATTTATTATTAGAAACTGACCCTATTTTGAGAGGATCTCTACTCTTTATTTGCTGGGAAAAATACTCTTCAGAGCATTTCCAGGAAGCTGGTGAAAATGCAGCCTGGTTTCAAAGCAATGTACTTGCATGAGTATTACATGTGAAAAACTAATGAACATCTTACCCTTTTAAAGCATAATTACATGGAAATGAATTTCTAGATGAATTAGTTGATCAGAATGATAAATTATATTTGTCTGTAATTTGTCTCCACGTTACCAAGAAATCTTTTGATTCAAGCAGATGTACCCATTCATGTCTGAAATATTCATAAATCTGTTATTTTTTGCTTAACCAGCCAATTAAAATTACATAAGTTTGTGAATAATTAACAGGGACTCCAACACTGCAAGTCTGAGCCTCACAGTTGAGTACTGGATTGGCAAATATGTTAATTTAATTACAAGATTTACGAGGGGAAGGACAATAAGCACGAAAGACATGAATCAGGATTAGATCCTATTCATCTTAAAAGATTATAAGCAAATCCTAGAAAAGATTTAACAATCATATTTCTCAACATCCTCAATCCCGTGATATGCCTTCTTTTTATATTAATTTCAGTTTCCAACTCCAATTTTTCAGCATGGATATAAGACAATAAATTGACCATAAAATCTACATATTAGCAACTATACAAGTTTGTCATATCATGCAAATAATAAAACCCATAATATATTGCCTAAAGAAAGCAAAAAATATGTCTGCACATTGTTTATGTGAGAGATAGAGCAAGAGTTTAGCTTCATCAAACTAAATTGTCTTTGAAACCCAAGTAGCAACAAAATTTTATAAAAGATGGTGTACTCACCCCACCCTTTGTACCCGAAATGCGATGATTTTTTGAGGAACTCCCAGGAATTAAGATGCACAGTTCCATGAATGATCGGAGTCTGGCACCATCAAATGCACCATTAATAATCATTCTCAAAAACCAAGCTAAAGGAAGGTAATCCATTCTATTTATATCATATGAATGATATCCTATCCTCAACATGGATTCAGAATAAATTTCCAACAGCCGAAAACTTGCACTACAATATTTGTCAAGATCTAGTTTGTAACGATCCAAGTTTCCACTACAAAATCAACAAGCTCTTCCTCCATCATTTTTCAAACATAATGCCTTACAATGGCAAACCAAAACAGTAAAATCATAGATTCCTTAGCAATGCATACGAAAGTAGTTGCCAACTATTTCACTTTGTGAGAGACAATATTGACACTTGAATGTTCCAGGGCTTGTGTACTATTTTAGAGATCCTATACAACATACAAGTTCTAAGTTCACGCACGACAATGTCTGCTGATTACTATAAAGCACTGGTAGCAAGGAAATCCTAAATGAACAAAGCAACAAATATACATAAACCTCAGTGCAATAAAACCTTAAATCAATGAGCAGATGATTAATCAAGGATGAATTCCTACTATCAAGGCATTATTATAAGTAGCATATGCATGACCAAACAGTCCTTTTTGTCTTGATGCTCGGGGAACCAACATAGATTCAAAAAAGGGTAGAAAAGACAGACGAACAACCTTGCATGTCCCCAATGCAGAAGAATAGGTGGACTAGAAAATACTGTCCATATTATGAAAACTAAGGATACTGAAAGCCCTATTTATATTCCAATTTCAAATGTCAATGCTGCCAGTCAAATAAATGTTTCAGTGAATTTTTTTTTTTTTATATGCACATGATCAATTCTCACATGCAATTCTATCTAATCCCCCTCTTCTAATGTCAATAAGCCAGGTTAAATTCCACTTAAATTAGAAAGGCAAATGCACAATATTTAAGAAAGTGAGCAGATTAAAAGGGAGAATGTACTTCAATAATATTGTATGGCCATCAGACGGTTAACTGCATGATCTATTACATCTAAACTAGAAGAAATCTAACTAATCTCACAAAAAACCAAAATAAGTCAGTGATCTCCACCACAAGCGCCCCAATCTTGCCTCACTTGTTACAAACATCAAGTCCCATTGCCTTCGTTTGACTCTTCAGCTGAATGTAGAAGAGTAGCAAAACCGAAGCACCAAATTTTTCCACAAAGTTTCATTTGCACAACAGAGAGCATTCCACTTAAAGGTATTAAATCCATAAGACAAGAGGAAGGCCAAAAAGAACTTGGGTCAGAGCATTTAGGAAAAATATGACGGACTCTTGTCTAACAGAGGATATTGCCCTACATACAACCAAGTGGCAAAGCAAAATTTTTGTAGCCAACCAAGTAGCTGATATACAAAGCCTTGTTTTATTATAAAACCCCGTGGCAAGAATGTAGGACATAATGCCAGTTGGTGTCCAAATTTATACTTTCTATGCTAAACATCTCACAAGCATAACTGACAGTGACAACTATGTTCCCAGATTTTCTAATTAACCAACAAAATGTATGAAAATGAACTTTACACTGTTCTGAAGTTAACAAATTGTTGCATCAAAACTACTATGCCTTGGAGCTATTTTACAATTTATTGGCTGGACGTATTTACATGATTAATTGGTGCACGTTTAGTGATCCAATTCAACAAAATATATATATTTTTTTTTAAAAAGAAAAAGAAAAAAAAAAGACACACATTGTACATGTCACAGACTCATATGTAATGTATCACAAATAACCTTTCATTCAAGTGAATGGATAGTTGTCACCTACGAAGTACGGACACTTCTAAAAAGAAGGTGTATCCATGTCGTGTCGTGTATGTGTTGGACACTTCCCGACACTTGTCCAACATTCATCTAAATGTGTCTTATTTATAATAATAATAAAAATTTAGACTCGAACACTCCTTGGAAGCTCAAAATTATGTATTTTGTGTGTGTCCCTCACGTGTCGTGTCTTACATTTTTTGAAAATTTCTGTGTCCCTGTGTCCGTGTCCATGCTTCTTAGGTTGTCACAGAGAACCTTTCATGCGTAATTGAGTGCATTATTAAAAAGATTCATAATTGTTCATTGCCAAATTCCAAGGAGAAGAATTAGAGTACTAAACTATTAGCCAGTAAAAGCTTTCATGCTGCTCATTGGCAGGACTCACTTATGTGCAAGCTCCTTTAAGCCATCATTCCAACCTTCAAGATGTTGGTCCAAAAGAACACGTGTTAAGGCACTTATCTGAAACACATCTGGTGATCCTAAAATCAATTCCAAGAACACAACACCTGCGCTCCACATGTCATACCTATCACAAAAAACAAAGGTTGCAGAAAATCAGCCAATCAAATATAAACAGAAGTACGCAACTTGAAAAAATGGAGCAGCAGCCTTATTTTTTGCAATATTCCATCTTTAGGCTTAATTTGAAAGTGCGCCTTACTATTTACAGGTTTAGAAATAAAAGAAAGAGCAGCAGAAGATATTCTTATATAAGAACCAATATAGCTAAATCTTGAAATTAATCAATTGGAAAGTAACATACTTCAAAGTTGTCTGCATTTGTCCCTTGTACCAGCTAGCATTTAGAAGAGCTTCTGGAGGAGTATACTCATATGTTTGTTCCGCTCTGGCAAAACACAAAAATAGATGGAAATTAGTGCATTAAGACAAGACAAGTAGATATCTTTGTTTCATAAATTATCACATATCCTTCACAACTTATGGTGTACGACCACAAATATGGAAGGATCTACAAGTCCAACAACTACATGACGGCAGACAATGGTCAATCACAAACTCACATTTGATGTGAGATCAACAAAAACTTTAAAGGAGACGTAAAGTATTACAATCAAGCTGATGTAAGTAGTTGTGTGTAGCTAGTTGTTATGTTAGTTGCCAATAATAGGGGTGTAGAGACCTCCTAACCAACTTTTGATCATTTGAAATTGTATTACAAAGCTTGAGCTCTTGTATCCCCATAAGAAATTTCTCACTCTAGATTTCTTCTCTCTTTGGCTCTTCATCACAAGCATGACCCAGCCCCACACTTCCTCACAGCTGGTGGGAACATGATTACAGCTTTCCAATATAAAATTGATCTTATAACTCAACTTGATGGAGCTACAACAAAAGGATGAGGATCTAAAACAAGCAATCCACACATATACACTTATAAGAAGATATTGCACTATACTCCAAGTCCAGAAGACTCTTCAGATTCAGCTAGCTACACTTTGTAGAGAAGCGTGTCCTCAACCAATTGAAGAGCCGGTGGTCATTTGCAAAAAGACAACCTGACTTGCATTTAACAAGAAAAATCTACAAAGCAGTAAGTCCCCACCTGAAGTGAGATTGTGGTGATGAATTAATTGGTAGAATTACGGTTTTCTGATGGCACAAGTTTGAGAAAATGGGTCTTCTTAATTAAAGAAAGTAGGCAAAAGCTTACTTATGTTCATGATCTAATAGAAAAACCAATCAGCGGAATGAATCAGCTAAATCAATACTATGACCATCTTTTTCCATGATAGCCATTGCTGAGCAGTTATGTTCTCCGGAGCAGCTTGAACATTTTAGATATCATGTGACAGGCAAAATTTGTCCACAGATGTACATAGAATGGCAGTAGAGAAGGCCTCATACCTAGAAGGTCCCACTGAACCATATAAATGCTTCATGGTGAACACATCCATCGCACTACCGAAGTCAATTATGCGCCTAAAATATTAAGAGGGGAAAAACATAAATAACAATAATGTAGAAAAGCAAAAACAAAAATGCCTCATTTTCCAATAAAAATGAAATTCGCCAGAAAATATGATGGGAAAATCAATTTCTGGCGGTTGATAGAATATTTAACAACATAAAGAACTAAAATAAAAGGCATGCACATCAACTTCACTGGAGTTGCTATAAATTCAACATAGGGTATTCAATATTGAAGTGATACATGGAATAGAATCTAGCACAGCTACATCATATGGAATCAGTCAATCACCGAAATATTAAAATGTTGAGAAGGTTCAGCCCAAAATATTGTTATGCACCAACAAGATAAGTATATCATTATGGGATCATGAGTAGTAGCATAGACCCAAAAACAAGAAAGTATCTACTACAGAGTTGCATTATTAGATGGGGGCCAACATTTGAACATGGAAATGTCATGACAGTAACATTAGCTAATAAGTCTAATACTGACCAAGTGAAAAAGAGTATGAAGGCTTAGCTCAAGAATGACCCAGAGAAAGTAAGCCACCCAGGTTCATTGATCAACACATGCCTAAATAAATTGGGGGAGAAGAGTGAAGGTATGTGATGTATAAGGATCTTAAAGATGCATAGTTCGACCCTTTTTGGACAGAGAGCCAGTAAACAATTAACACCCAAATTCAACTCAACAAACCCTTGTTCCAACTCTTTAACGTCAGCTATGGATCTTATTTCACCATTCCGCTCAACCCCATTCTAGATTAAATTAACACTGTCGACACCAAAAGAACTGTAATTAATGTAGAATAAACAAATCTAGTGCCATTGAAGAACTTCACCTGATAAGACACATCTGCCCAAGAGTAAATCACTACTCTCTAGCCAAAAATAGGGAAGGAAAAAAAAAAAGTAACCTCCAAAAACATGACTTGTTCTCTTTATTTTCAAGTTGAAATATCATCACAACAGAAGTAAGAAATCAGTTGTCCACCAGCTGCATCGTGAGGGTAATAAATTATTAAATATACCAAGGATTTTTATGAAACATCTCAAAAAATAATACATAATTGCAGCCACCATTAGGTTCAAATAAGAAGCTACTGGTCTGCCAAGTTGAATAAAGGAGAGAGGAAAATAAGAATGCTTTTTTCAGGGAAATGAAGCCTGCACAAAGCAAATCTGAGAAATGAAAATGGAAGGGAGGGGAAAAAACTAATTGATGTGTTTAGCATATTATTGAAATTAAATGACTGATAAACCTATAGCTTGTATGGACAGTGAGTTGCAGTTGAAGGTGCTGCAGTTACAATTGTGTCCTGAAGTTCAACTCAAAATGGGTCAGTACAATCGTTGGTTTGGATTCCTGAAATGCCAACTCCACTCTTGATTCATAAATAGTAAGTACATATTTTAACCATGTTGATTCTGGATTAGGGGTTCAGTTAAACAGACTTAACAGAAGAACAGCACTTGAGATAAGGCGGCTTTAGCCCAATCACAAGTTAACCTCATGCTTAAATACTTCAAATATTTCATTCAGGAGTCAACAAGTAGAAGCTCACAACCTGTAGCAAAAGTGTCCTACAAAGAAGAAAAAAGAAAGTCAAATACTATAACAGGAAGACACAATCTGAGTACATTTTTGTTGTGTATTTCTTATCTCCACTTGGAATTCCCTTCAAGCATCTCCCAGAGTCCTGATCTTCAAAGCAAATGACCATGTTCTCTTCAAGAACAAACACAGAAATGTTCTTAGTTAGCAAATTACAAAAAGAATACAATTTCCATTGGGTAATCTGAAGGCCTGATTGAAAAACAAAGGAAAAGTTTCAAGAAGTAGAGAAATTATGGGGGGAAAAGTCCAACGATAAGGCAAATATCCCCAAAAAGCGAAAAGGGACGGAGCAGTTTATCAATGTACTTTATCAAAGAATGTCTCTAACAGAAATGAAAAGACACGGCATTGAAAATCGCTTCCGCAAAAACTTGAGAATACAAATAATGAAAAACTACCGTTTTATAGGCTTTTAATACTGTAGTGTATAATCATCGAAAATGCAATGATTGGAATCTGAAAACATTACTGGCATAATTATTCCAGTATGACTTTCAGAAGCCAACTGTTACTCCCGCATCGTCATCTTTAACTTTCTAATTTCAGCTTTGACTAATCAAGGGCAGTTGATCAATATCTTACAACTAAAAAATCATTTTGTTTTAATTTTACATCAAGATCATCTGCACCGTATAAAGGTTGTAATGTCCTCACCAGGTTTAATATCCCTGTGGGTGATATTGCGATCATGACAGGATTTAAGTGCCATCAACTGAGAAAAGAAAAAGAAAGTACATCAGCTAGTCATATTGAAGAACGAATTAAGAACATAACTCTAGGAAATGAATCAATTTTCAGCTTAGGCATGCGTAAAGCAGAAAGAAAACAACAGAAATTTTGAAAATAAAGCCATAGTGACACACTTCCACAAACTAAAAGATTGTGATCAGTTAGCATAAAAATTACATTTATAAGCATATTCACTATTTCAGAGCTTTAAGCTGACAATAGAACCAAATAATGAGTTTATGCATGATTGTAGTCATAGATTTTTAAAGTGTTTCAGATACACTGGTACTAGTGTTATAAAGTTTTTGTTTTAAAAAGGGATCTTTTCCTTAAATATGCCAACTAACTTTTAACATTGATACCACAGCCCCGTCCTGTGGCCATCATGCAGCGGAGTAATTATTCATATTCCAGGTATGAAGTTTAACTTCTTAAAAGTTCGGTCATCTAGTTTCTTGCAAAGAATCATGTGCACAGATGATGAGGCATCAATCCCAGCAAGCCAAGGCAACAATTCACACAAGACAAAGGTATGAAAACTAGAAGGCCATCATCCTAATAAAGGATCATCATAATAGAAAACACATCTAGGCTTGTATAAACCATTAAAGTTTTCAAGATAAATGGATGCCCAAGTTACAAATGATGGTACAAGAATCATCTGTGAACCATATAGACATACCAATTGCCATATAAGGTTCCGCATTTCCTCCTGTCCTGCCTCGGTCATCTTCAACCCATGCCACCATTTTGATGGATGCAGTACCTGGACATGTTTTGTGTGTTCATCCCTTGCATCATCAGCATTATTTTCAATTTCTTCCGCTGTGTACAAAATCTTTGACAAGGACACACCTTCGTGACGAAATACAAGCCATATGTCATTAGATCGAGACTCAAAAAACTCTACATATCTTGCAATATGGTTCACACCTTCTTCAAAGGCAACTCTCTGCAGTCTATTTCTGTTTCGGGATATACTATCAAAATTCCATGCATCCCCAATCTCCTGAGCAACTGAGTCATTTGTTTTTGAAAGATCATACAAAACTGATTGAGATTCTTTTGAGACTGACTCTGATTTTCCAGTTGACAGAAAACCTCCTAGAAATGAAGAGGCATTTAAGAAGACTTCACCAAAATGCTTCTCCCGTAGGCCACTTAAGTAAACACTGGTCCCTCTCTCCACCTATTTGCAGAATTGCAGTAACTAATCATTTCATGCTATACAAATTAGTGAATTATAAAAAGTGAACAAAAACTATTCTCAATCAAATCTCCGTAAGAAAAATAACACAAAGATTAATATACATTACAATCTGAAGGCAGCATGAAACTACTTATGTTGTGTCCCTCAAGGTGATGAGCACAAAAGCGTAGAAACAGATCATCTTTTAGGATTTGGGTTTCAAAACCTAAAATAGGGTTTGTAACCATTTCTTGTGGAGTTGTGGGTACCTGTATAACTAGGGCTGTTTAAAATAACCATTTCCAAAGTAACTTTGGGCTACCATATACAAACTATTTGTTATTATTAACTATTTAAAAGAACAATAGAGAAGAGATCATGCCCTCCCTAACTAAAATTTCAGACATCGAATAACAATTACAAAACATTTAACATCAGCAGCATGAGTAAAATCTCAGTATCGGAAAGAGGAAGGGAGGTGGCGGTGGTCGATGGTGGGGAAGGGAAGTAGAGAAATATGGGTGGAGAGAGAGAGAGAGAAGGAGAAGAAGAGGAGATCAAATGAGGAGGCTGCATGTAAATGGCCGAAAGTTTTTAGTGAGATTCATATCTGACCGATGTGGCATTTTATGATTGGCCTCCATAAACTCATGAGTTCACGGGAAAGCCATGAGAAAGTTAATCTCATATTATATATGTATGAGTATATATATATGTAAGCAAATACTAAGAAGTGCCCCAGGGGAATTGTTTAGCATCAGAATTAGTGTGAAATGTGTCTTGGAAATATGTGAAAAAGTCAAAAAGTGTTTTGAATTCACTGATAAATGTTTTGATTTCAATAAAAAGTTGTGCTCTTCACTTTTTCTTCTTTTTTCCATTTTATTTTATTTTATTTTATTTTTGTGTTATTTCTTTGTACCCTAGGGACACTTGTTAACAAGACCCATATATGTATATGTTTAGGAAAATTATATTTGCACACCACAAGAAATCTCAGTACACACTATTTGTGGTGTTCGGATATAAACTTCCGAACAAAAATCAAATGTTCAGACATAAAGATATGAACAAAAATAAATTGTTCAAATATACATTCCGTTCAGTTGTTTAGTTTTTATTCACTTTTTATACAAAAATAAAGAGAGGAATAGCCAATTTTTTTTCAACAAAAATCACATGAGGCTTTTTTGGCTATTTTTGAACGACTAGGGAGTAAAGTGGATTTTGCCCTATTCTTTTTACCTTCCTCTTATTCATTCTAGTTCTTCCCTTTATATGGGCACATTAGAACATAACTTATTTTAACAATAACCAAGCATCCCTAATCTATTTCATAAAAAACACAAGGCCTGACTCTTCATTAGACTAATGAAATTTAAAAGGTTTCCATTAACAAGAGACAACCAATCAACAATTTTGGGTGGAATCGGTTGCCATCAATAGAATTATCTTTTCCTTCTCAAGGGGCAAAAACGGGATACCATAACTGGAAATATGGGATGGTATTAGGTACCACATCATTGGATTGGATACAGGGGTGCACAATGGCTTCCCTTATTCACAAGTGGACCCCTTCTTAACCTAAGAGCCAAATGGGAGTGTGCATAAAGTTCGAAACAAAAGTTAAATCCTTAAGAGATGATATGGATAAACTATGAAGATTCAACCTGTGATGCAAATCAAATATGAATTTGCCCAGAAATTGAGAAAGAAGTCCTAATTTTCTTGAAATTAGGTAGTGTTCAGTTCTCTGGAATGAAGGTGGAATGGAATGATCATTCAATTGAATGTCTATTCTCATGTTTGGTTCACCAAAAAATGATGAAAAATGTTTTGCAAATGGAATTATTATTGACCAGTACAAGGAAATGATCATTCCATGTGAAGACTAGAGAATAATCATTCCATTGTATTCTAGTAAACCAAACGCAGCATTATGGTTTAGTGAGAAAATAGAGCTTAGCTCTGCAAATCACTTCATTAATTGTCGAAAAACCGAGTACCAATGACAGTTAGCCCCTTATTTCTAGCTATAGGCTAACCACTAACACAACTAACACTTGGATAGTTGTAGAATAGTTGTACAAGAGCTAGAACTGAAGCAATACAGAGAAACAAACAGTTATTCATAGTAAAATCCAACTGCATAAACTTCAACATGATCTAATTGAATTACTTACCATTATACGCTTTAGAATGAACAAGTCATCATCAGGAGCACCATAGTAAAAATCACGAGCAGATGAGTTTGCTTGGGAATTTCTATCATAATTGTCAAGGTGAATAGTATTAAATGAACATTTTCCGTTTTTTAGGCCACCATTGGAAGCATTGCTGCCTTCAGTACAATTCCAATTAAATGCCAGCCATACTTCTCCAAATGCTCCACGACCAAACCGTTTCTTTAGAATGTACCTAATAACAATAAAAGCTCAATTACATTAATGGCCCTTCCTAAAAGAAGAGAAAGGGGGCAAAAAAAAAAAGTACTAAATTCACATATACAATGAGCAGAAAATTGGATAAGTATGGTTGAATAATCATAATTGTGGATTACACCACAAAAAAAAAACGAACACCAACTTATTCTATGTTTGGGATTGGAGAAGTTTCCAAACTCTTCATAATCCTTCATTGACTCTACTGATATTAATCTTTTCGAGGGAATTTAGTGTTATAAGCCCCCACATACTTATGGTATACAAAGGTTGCGACCCCCCTTTTTGGCACATTTGTGAATAATGGTTGTCAAAGAAAACGAAAAAATGACCAAAGATATGAGCTAGCTTAGTTGGTCAAATATCTTGATAGTTGTAAAGCAGATCCGGGACAGCCCATTGCCATAGGAATTTCCCCACTTCCTCCAAACCCCTGAAAACTCCAAATTTCACATGAATACATGTGTAAGGAAGTGGATGCCATTTAAAATTATTCAAGAGAGCAACCAGATTGGTGCCTTGAAACGGCCTTAAAAACCTTCCACTATGTAACAACTTTGGGATGCTCAGGAGAGCAACGAATTAACTAAAGGAAAAAAAGGAAAGAAATTTACCTCGAGTCAGGCATAGCATGCTCAGCTGATCCATAATCTGAACCATTATCATGGATAGGAATTGATTCAAGAAAACCAAGGAAACCAGCAAAGCCTTCAGGATTTATACATTTATCATTATCCCCGTTAACAGTCATCCCAAATTGCAAGCACATATTCTGGTCATTATACAAATTTAAAGGTCCACCTACAACAAAGCACAATTAATAGTGGCTCTACATACAAGCTGACGACAAAAATGTAAAATTGAAAGTTGCTACTGCCACAACATTTGATCTTGTGCATCTTTCTTTTATTTTATTTTGGTGAGAGAGAGAGAGAGAGCAGGGAAGATATAACTATTGCCAATAGTATTTCTCAACAAGCATTATAATTTACACATGCAAACGTGTACATAGTGTGAAATTAATTGTAGCAAAAGCAAATTACAGGAGCAACTCTACTTACCATAATGGTGATCAAGTGCATCAGGTAACGCCTGTGGTAAGTCATACATATCTTGGTGGTCGACCTTTTGAGCCCAGAATGTATAATCCACATTTTCATTAAGGTTCTCGGATAGATAAAAACAACCAACTGTTCCGTGCTTTCCTTCAACCTAAATCAAGATTGAAATCCAACAACATCCCTCTTATTGATGCCAAACCTTTAAATAAGAAAAATAGTCCATTCATCCAAAGAGACAATAGCAAGAAGAAAATAATCGAACTAAATTACTTCAACCACTTTTTACTTCTTAATAGTACAAAATAGATGAAACCATGGTCATCAGAATCCCGATCCGGATTGTAAGATCTTAAGATCCTACAATTCTAGTTAGGCTAAATGATTTGGATCGCACTAGGATCTTAAATTTAGTAGGATCTCAAACTGATTATGATCCAAGTCATAAAATCGTGTAGAATTGCATTATGATCCCGATTCTACTACGATCCCAATCTTACCAAAAAAATATCTTATTATTTATTTCTTATATATGTATATCTATATAAGAAATTTGACTATAAATTCTTTCTAAAAACATCTCTTCTAATTTATGATAATATAAAAGATGCATTATATCAAATTAATCATTTTTCTTTAGTGATTTTACAATTATTTAACACACATTATCAATTTATCATTATAGATATTTATCATTTTATTTTACATTAAAAGTAGAATCTTACGATTCTCGATCCAATCCACAAATCCCTCCCAACGATTCTACCTAAGATCCCGATTTTAACAACATTCTAACTAAAACTAAAGCATTTTTTAAGAGAGTTAATATATCAGCCCCAGAAATTGCAGAAATCGTACAGTATACAGTACTTAAATCAGTCATTTTGCGACAAAGATATCTGTGGACAGCAAGGTAGGACCTAAGAAAAGTGAATGTCCAGTGCCAACAGGATTGCTACCAAAATCACAAGCAGGAATCATGGTATCTAGAAAAAAAGTTAGCTACAAAAGATCCTCTAATAATTAACACTCATGGGAAAATTAAAAATAATTAATTAGTAGAATTGTTGATATTTTCTCTGTGATTTTCAATGACAAAAAAATAGTTTTTAGTTATATAATTTTCAATATAATAACAGAATATGCATGCATATTTTGGAGGCAATGGACCTCATTCACAAAAGATATGTATTATATCAGATCTTGCTTATACAAAAACGCCTAACCCCCTTCTTCGTTACTCGTAAATTAACATTACTAATAATTCCTAACTAAAACGTATTATGTTCATGTTCATATTTCCACTTCAATAATTAATATCACAAGAAGAATTTTTCAAAAAAAAACAAATATTAGTCATTAAGTAAAAATATTATTAATTATATAACATCAAACAAAGTTGGCTTCTCCAAAAATTATAAAGTGAAGACTGGTACCATATTAACTGTGGAAAACTTTTATTTTACCCATCTTTCATAGAGAATGAAAACTATATCAAGGGGGAAACAAAAAGGTTCAAAAGCAGAGGAGTAAAACGCCAGAAAGGGAGAAGACAAGAAAAAGGTTGGTAGAAAACAGGGCAAAGATACAAAGAGGGCAAAAGGCAATCAAAGGCCAACCAGAGTGGCTTGGAAAAATCTTGGGTGGAACATGCTATCAAAGAAGGCAATAGATCTTGTGTTTGAAACTTTTTAGATGAGTTGGTGATGAGCAGACAGTAGATCCTGTGTTTAAACCTCACAGCCTACCTGACAATTGTAATATTTGCACATGTTTGGCTAATTTATGGTTGGCCATACATGATGGGGCATGTTGATGAAACAAATAATAACCCTTTCTATAAGCTTTTAGATGAAATAGCGGTTAACAATTTAACAGTTACATACAATCAACTTGACTCAGGTCATTTTCTTTTTTAGCAACAAAATTCACCGACAAGAAAGAAAGAAGTTTATTCACATTTTCCATATCCAAATATAAATATGGAAGCGTTTTGAAATTGAAGGATAAATTTCTCTCTTTCTCTCTCTCATAACGAGGAAACATAGCCATACTACGCATGACTGGGTAAACCCCAGGTGCACACCTAAGTCACCTAATCCATTAAAATAGGCTGGTGAACCACGCTTCTGAACGTGGGTTCGTGAATTCTGTAACAAACCAGGCCAAATCCACAAATTCATTTAATCAAATGCATGAGTTTTCCGTGAATTTAATTTTTAAACTGCCAACACAGTGTCACATGTGGCAAATACAAGCAGGCCATTAGCCTTGTACAAGCCATAGGCGATGGAAGTGGCTTTTATAGAATTGAATGGCCTCAAACCATTCATCTTTAGTCAATGTGGGACAATGAAGTTTGATTCTTAGAGTGAACTTTTACAAAGCTGTGGAGGTGTCATCTGCTCTGCATATGCTATCAATGTGGGATGTGTTAAACAACAGTTAACTTCCAAGAACTTTAGCCCCAACCTTCACTAGACATCTATTAATTTACATATATATAGGCACTCTATTGGTGCTCCCGCTCTCAAGATATTTTAATCAAAGGCATTTTGCACTCCCGCATGCCAAATCCGTGACTATCTTGAGACATGTGCACTAGGCTAGCCAAGCAAAAGCCTGTGTAGGTGGCCTTCAAATATTGCATGTGTGACAAATTGAACCCAAGCTTCAAGTAAGGAGAACAAGCACACTTACCACTAGTTAACATCCATTTTCCTAACTAACTTGAAAAGCACAAGATTGCCAAAAGATAAAACAAGAGAATTGCAAATGCTTGCCTTTAAGCCTTACCAATAACCTGTCAAACTTGGCCACAATTGGGTGAGCATGCTCCAAGTCTACGAGGACAAAATAAACAAGCACAAAATCTTCAGATTGAACACAGATTACGTTGCAGACATGAATAACAAGAAGAAAATATAAGAAAGTGGATCACGAGACAGTTAGTGTAAATACTTCATACTAGAATTATTTGCTAGAATATTTTACATAGCATGTACAATTAGCACCAAAATTTTCACAGGGCAAAGCGTTACGCAAGGCGTTTTACCCCTCAAGAGGCGAGACACAAGCCTTAAGGCATTGAGGTGTAAGCATTTCCAATTATGAATTTTTATATTTAGTAAATAAATCAAATATTTTAAAATAGCAAAAAATATTTAAAATTAAATATAAAGGTGTAAATATTTTTCTCCTCATGGCGTTGAACATTTCACTACAAAGAATGAAACTTGCCCTCATTGAAAGGAAAATTGATATACTTTGCTTTAGTGATTGAGCTTTTCACTTGAGACTTAACTTTGCATTTTTTGTCGTTCATATACTTAATTTTTCCTATGGAAAATAGTTGCAAAAGAGGTTCTTTTTTATTTTTTATGTTTAAACCATCTACTAGACTAAGTTTGCAAGAGTCAAATACAAACTTTTTATATGCGTTCTCCTCATATGTTTATGCGCAAAAGGTGTACAAGAAGCTCCTAAAGGGTATGTCTTAAGACTGTGATGCTTAAGCCTTTTAGGAGTATAGCTTAAAAATCGAAACTTTGATGCGTTTTGCCTTAACCTTGCCTCAAGACGAGCATCAAGGTGAGCCTCAATAAAGTCTTTTAAAACTTTGATTAGCACCAGCACCACTCAGGACTAACAAGTTTCCCCATAAAAAAATGTTTTTTTGAAAAGTAAGTTTCTCCATATAAATGACTAGTGAAAGATATTACTAAGGACACACCTATAAATAAAACCTGCGCTTTCAAGTAGATGAGTGACAAAGACGAGAACTTAAAAGGTCTAGATGATTTCAGACACAATTTGAGTATATTTTAAAATTTAGACATTAAATGTCAAAATTGAAGTCACAAATTAAGATGAGAACCATAAAGAATGGCATAATTCATACGTAAACGAAGACCAATTCTTCATATGAGGATCTAGGTAGGCAAAATGAAATAAGAAAGTTTCATGGCATTGGTTCAGCATATACCCAATGTAGAAAAGAACAGGACAAAGGCATAACGTAAACATTTTACCACAACCAAAAAATTTATGTATTTAAAAAAAAAAAAAAAAAAAATCGATAGGAGGGGAATAGGGGAAGAGAAAATTGCATCACGCAGTGGTGAAACTTAAACCCTAGTAGTAGTAAGGGAATGCCTCATCCACCATGCCATTTTCTAAATAGGGCAGTGATTAGCTTGTTTTTCATCACATCCAAGATATATTATCACCCATGTTATTAACTCAGATACGTGTGTCAGGTGCGGGTATGTGTCAAAGTATCAGATTCATAAACACCAGGACACATCTAGATTTCATATCTTCTAAATAGTATTCATTAGGGTAAAATAACATTCACAAACTAATATAAAGCATGTTATACATTAAATGAAAGTCTTATCCATAATTATATAGTAAAATCAACTATTTATACATACTTATTGGGTGCATGTCCAACTAGACACATCGGACACGTATCTCATATCCATACCCAAGTGTTTGTATCAACTATTTATACATATTATTGGGTGCACATATGCATTGGACACAAGTTTTCCACTGTCTTCACAAATTTCAAAGAGTTCAAAACATAGATTATGACTAAACTTTTTTTGTTTCGATATTTTAAGACATGCCAAGGTGGATTCCAATATCCATACCCATAAAACATTTAACTAATTGGAAAGTTTAAGAATAGTGAAAGTTACCCGGCTCTTTCTCAATGAACTTCTGCACTCCAAAAGCCAACCAATCACTGTCTCCTCTATCCAACCTTTCCTTCAGCAAGGTTTGAGAAAAACCAGCTGATCTAAGTGGAACTACAACAGCTGCCATGTTATCTATACTACCTTTTTCTAATGCAGAATTCACTATGCAATCAGCTAACGAGTATGAGCACGACGCAGAAAGATCTGATCTCACAGTGCCATTATTATGAAACTCCCACAATAGATCACAAACACCCTGTGGGCTCAGCTTCTCAAAAATGCCATCAGATGCAACCACCAGGTAGCTGTCATTGGAAGTCAGAGGTTGCCAATCTGTCAGCTCTGGTGCAGATATAACACCATAGCTGATATCAGCCCAGAAAGAGACAAGATGAGCAACTTTCATTTTTTATATAGATATAAAATATTAAGTATCAGTGTAAAGTGAAAATAAAGCTCTTCAATGGTGAAGAGGCAAAACAACTCTTTTACCAACTCTTTTGTAAGTCAAGAAGAAATCAATCAGGAGGAAGAACCAAACCTCAAAATGAGAGTCTCACCTCACCTTTTAAAGGAAATATCACCAATAGCTCGTGAAACAGCCAACTGGCCATTAACTCGTGACACACCACCCCATTCAAGTACATGACCCCCAGCAGATTCCACCCGGGACCTTTCATCATCTCTGTCTGGATGATGATCTGTTGTCAGTTCCTTAGCAGAAAAATGAGCCAACCCATTGGAAACTGCCAATTTAGATCCATCATTGTATTTAATGGGTGGAATAGCACCATTATGTCTTCTTTGCCTGTATAACCTCAACAAAGTGGCTGCAATTTGCAAGAACTATAAAATAATCAACCTTTACCCTATAACAAACGAAATGAAGTCAAAAACTTGCTTTGCTAACCACGATATATTTTCAATCAAGCAAAGACATGATACCATGAACACACAGAACGAGCCAATGCATTTATGCCATGCCATAAACATGTGAACGAAAGCACTATACAATTTAGTTCGTAGCGAAAATCTTTCAGACCTTTAGCCTCTGATACAGATTGAAATTCTTCAGAGCACAAAAGAGCCTTCGAGTCTCCAACATTAGCAACTAAGATTTGATCATCTGCTATTAGTATAACTGTGGCTGTAGAGCCTGAATCAAGATTATCTCTAGATGCTTCCTTCAAGAATCAATTAATTTAATGTCAAAATAAAATTGAAGACAATGGCATGGTGTGCAACCAAATTTCCAAACGACAAAGAAATAACTGTGAAAAGTTAAAACCCACCTTAGAGAATGTTGCATCAATATCGCGAATTGCCCTCAGCAATGATTCCTTCAAAATTTCCAAGTGAAATGATCCACCAAAGATTGCTGATGGTGAAAGCTCAAACCTATGAAAGCATCCACAACTTCATCTCCACATGTACATATCAACTATAAATTTATAATAGCTTGAAAGACATAAATATAAACTGCATGCCCTTTCCAGTAACAAAATGCTTAGAAGCCAACCAAACAGAAATTCATTTGCTACATGGACTCTTCTATTTCCCCCAAAGGACCCGTGTCCACCTCTAATATGACAAAGGTAAGGGGTCAAACATGTGCCTGATACCCGTACCCAGTTTAGACACTTGGATTCTCCAACTTCTTACGATGTTTGAAAAATAAGAAACTCACATTTGCTAGAAAAGAAGCATTTATAACCTTTAACATAAATAAGAGAGAAAAAATCCCCATTCTTTCAAAATCTTATTTAATGTTAAGTACATATTTACATAATTCACAACATCTTATCCAAGAATATTAGATAATAATAATATGCAACATATATGTGTCAATAACGAGTCCCCATCCCCATATCATAATTTGGATACGTATTACAATATCCTAATATTTAAGTTTATGGTCAAACACTTGGACACACACTCGTACCCAAGTCCATGTAACATACACACAACCCCACAAACCCAAAAAAACAAGATCAATGTAAATACAAGTGAAATGTTCAACCCAAAGGAAAAAGTACACACATAATGTACTTATCCATCCATGTATTAGAAAGCTAATTACTGAAATAAGATATCTAGTATTTGTATCACCAACAACAACAATGCAAGCAAGTTCCTGACACATTTCTAGGACAATACTGTCTGCTGCTTTTGAACAATTGAACAATGGTATATTCATTGTGATTTTGCAAGTTGTCTAAGAAATATTCAACACTAATAGGACTGAACATGCCATAAGATTCACAAAGTAAATGAATTATGACCATATAACAACATTTTTTTAAACATCAAAAGCTCGAGAAAACTAATTTCTCTCACTACCATGTACAAAAAAGTGCTCATACACACAAATAGAAGGTGGGTGGGAAAGAGAAGGCACCTTCCATGATCTGACACACGCCAATCCAGTATATAATCCCAATTAAATGCTTGGAAAATAATATCATGTTCTCCGTTATGTGGCAACCTTCGCATGGATTTCTTTGATAAAAACAAAAATGTTGTGTCGAGAAGAAAAAATGTATGCAACATGAAATACTCGAGCAATAGCTTTGAAGCCATCTCACTAGCTTCAGCACCATTATGACCATCAAAAACTGCCATTATACCAACTGTAACCTCTGTAACTCCTGCAGGACCTGCTCCAGTATAAAATTCCACATATTAGAACTAACTTTCACATAAGGGTTTTGCTAATGATAACCCTAAAGGCTGTCAATAAGAAACACATAATCCTAAAACATTTATAATCCTAATACACATTTTACATATCCCAAAACACTTTTATATATTTTTATTCATTGTTTACATAATTCAATACACTTTTTTTTATACACACTTTCCAAAACTAACAACGGCCCTTAGGGCTGTTTTTAGAATTCCCTTCATATAATAACCCATAAAATGCAAATTACTCTAATCTAATATACTACATTATTCATTTAAAAAAAAAAAAACTCCAAGTTCTTCCATTTTGTTTACAATTGCATCCTTGCTATCATTTTAGCAGGAAACGAAATAATGAATTTAATCCAACCTGCACTAAATCCACCACTAGACTATAAACCAATAAATGAGATAAAACTTGTAGTATGAAAATATATATATAAAGTAGTGTTATAAATTGTTACCCTTCGGTAACGTGAACTTTGACATGACACGACCATTATCTCAGCAACAAAGTAAAGCCTAGCAAACACGAGAAGACTTTATTTTACTATTCACCCGATCCACTTCCATAGGTCCCAAGATTGTAGGGTTTTTAGTAACTATTTTAATCTTCTTCTGTTTCCTTCCATCGTCAAGTTAACAGAAACATAATCTCAAGCTCCTCTTTTCCTTTTTTTTTCTAAAAATCATATAGGAGCTGAGACAAATCTAAAAATCACGTGTATACCTCGAACAAAACAACTAATTTTAGGAAATTTCATTTTTGTCCCCACCCGGTTCAAGCGAATTGATCACAATACACGCTGACTTCGCACACTGATGCCCCATTGATCCCCAAAAAAATTAAACAAGAAAATTCTATGTATTGACAAAGCCAATTCGATCGAGTTTCCTATATCCTACTAACTATTTGTCTTTCATTCTTTCTCCAATTCTTGATGATGATGATTTCAAAATTTTCCTGATAATAAAATTCAAAATAGAAAGTTAAGTAAACTTCATCATCAAGAAACCTCCATTTAATCTAATTTCGCAACAATCCATGAAAAGACTATGTGTTTATTTATATGATTACCGGGAAAGGGAATTCGAAGATCGAGAACACAGAGAGTGCGATCCTCCTGAGAGTTTCGACGTCCCTGATGCGTAGCGGACTGACACCTCGCAGTCCGTGGATGGGAGGCGTAATTGGAGAGCTTCCAGAGGGGGCATTTAGGGGACTGAAACACGGCCGGAGCTCCACCTTCTTTGTATACCATCAAGCAAGTCGACGATTCCCCATAACTACGAATTGTTACGCAAACAATAAACCCTAGCAGAACCAGGTAACTTTTGCATAGCTTATTCATCTGTCAGGCAGAGAAAATTTTGCATAGCATTGGAGATAGAGAGAGAGAGAGAGAGAGAGAGAGTATATATCGCAGAGAGATTCGTTGATTTGAAGTGGGAGTGGTTTCTCCGTAGTTTTGATCGGGGGCAGATTACTTGTAGTTTGTTTGAAGTTTGTTTGACCGGATTGAATAAGATAATTAATTCATTAGAGTATTAAGAGCATCTCCAACTATTCAATTCTTTTTTTTATTAAATTTGACTAAATAATAGGTTCTTTCTTCAATTTGATAACTTTTCTTTCAATGGTGAGCAACAAAGCAGAGTTGAGGAAGTAGTCGATCGGCCGACCGATCGGTAAGGATAATTTGTTTTATTTTTTTATTATCTATTTGAATCTTTTTTGACAGGTTTGAACTTACCTATTTGAAGGAAATCGGTCGACCAGTGGGTCAATCGGCCGGTCAACTGGTTGGTTGACTGATTGGTCCACCCCAACGGTCAGGCACAATAATTTAGTGAAATCTGGATTCTGTTCTCAGTTTGATGTTTTTTTGTTCAATTCTCATTTTGATATTAATTTGGTGAAACCGTTGGAGCTCCAAAAAGTGTATTTTTCACAAATTTTAAATCTGATGCCAGATTTGCTGAATCATTGAAGATGGTCTAATACCTTGGATAGTAGATATATTGGTTGCGTTCGGTAGAGTTTTGTAAATGTGATTTGAGAATATGAGTTGTATTTTAAATTTATGAGTTGTAGAATTATGATTTAAGTGTAGAAAATTTGTTTGGTTATGGTTTTTAAATAGAGTGTTGAATTGTGTTTTGAAGATGTATGTTGAATTAAGTTTTAAAAGTTTGATGTGACATGTGAAATAAGAAAATTTGTTTGGTGATGTGTTTTGAAAATAGTTTTCAAAACTTAATTCAATCAATAATTTATAATCAAACACACAACTCATATATCGATATCCGTATTTTTTATCAACAGTAATAACCAAACTATTTTTAAAATACTGAAATTAAAAATTGATTTTTTTTTCAATAAATTTTTTTTTCAATATTTTTTTTGAATAATTTTTTTTCCAAATAATTTTTTCATTTTAAAATAAATCTATATCAGTTATTTTGTGTCAATTAATTTTTGTATCAATTCATTTTTTAGGTCTGTACAAACATCTTGTACAATACGTTTTTTATTTTTTTCTAAATTTTTTTTAAAGTCAACAACTTTTGAGAATACATATTAATAAAAATTAACATAAATAAGTATGTTTAATATATCTATATAATAAGGCAAGAAGGATTTTGAATTTATGTCAAAAATGTGTGTGAGATACATTTGATCCAATGGTCTAGATCAATTGTAATATCTATCCAATGGCTGAGGTTATACAGAAAACAGAAATTCCCGCCCAACATGGCTGTTTCTCCACTCCTCTCTCAGTATCTGACCTCTGTATCTGATTTGCCTCCCCATCTACCCTCTGTCTACCCACCTTCCCTCTCTATTCCTCTCCGTTCTTCTTCTGATTTTTTTTGAAAATCTCAGAGCTTACACAGAGCTTACACACAGCCTTCATTAGAGTCTTCATCAATGCACACACACGCACCCACACTTATTACAAATTCGCCCTCGCCCGAAGGGATCAAAAGAATAATACAAATCGAATAATAAATTAACTATCCTAGCTAATTAATTATTACAAATTACCTAATTAGTTAACAAACTAACTAAGATAGAAAAAACAGTAAACCGCCTCGGGAAGAGAGCTCGATGCAATGCATGCTCGGTCTTGCTCGGGAATTCACTGCCATGCGCAATCTGCCTATGTTTTCCCTGCTTTGCTTCTCTGAAGACTGTCACAGTCTCAGAGTTGCTTCTCTGGACATTGGGAGACACCACCGGCTGAGCAGAATGGTCACCGGCAGTGGTCTGGTGGTCATCGACACATAATGGATCCATCGGCTGCCGGTTTATTGTCGGTCGGCACTCTATGAAGTCGATCGGCAGAGAATGCCTGCAGAATCTGTTTGACAGCAGCAGAGGACAGAACTTTGCATGGCAATGCAATTCAAGCCATATATGCACCAATCATGTCCTTCATCATGTCAGTGACTCAAAGGGACATGCTCCTTGGTTCTCGGACCACCAATCGCGCATTTCCATGCGTGATGGCCCAAGGGACCAAGTGTGCACATTTTGATGTCAAATGCAATGCAAACCAACAATCGAACCAAGAGGCTTCTACCGCCATCATGACTTGGTCAAGAGGTGAAGCATGCATGCCAATGTAATGCAATCCTAAGCATAGGAGCTAGCATGCAATATGAGCATGCAAACTAGCAATGCGAAACATACATCAATCATGCAAGGCATAGACAACAATCATGCAAGGCATGAGGCAAGCGTGTTAATATCAAGCATGTGAGATGTGACCTAAATGTACAAATATGCAAGGCACGCAACATCATACAGATGGGACCAAGCATATGACAATATACAGAGTAAGCATGCAACGCAAGCTAAGAGAGGGACTTACACTAATTGGACAGCCCTCAATCTGGTCCAAAACAGTGGCCAAAGCCAAGGAAATGAGGCCTAAAACACACGCACACATGTATGCAAATATGGTCCAATTCCTAAGGCCCACCAAAGAAGCATTGAACTACACTTAGTGCAACCACACATGGCATGAATTAAATGACTAAAAACAGAATTTTAGCATGTTAAGACAAGGCCTAAAGATCACTTAGATGGCATCCAATTGTTTGTTTGTTTGTTTGTTTGTTTGTTTGTTTGTTTGTTTGTTTGTTTGTTTGTTTGTTTGTTTGTTTGTTTGTTTGTTTGTTTGTTTGTTTGTTTGTTTGTTTGTTTGTTTGTTTGTTTGTTTGTTTGTTTGTTTGTTTGTTTGTTTGTTTGTTTGTTTGTTTGTTTGTTTGTTTGTTTGTTTGTTTGTTTGTTTGTTTGTTTGTTTGTTTGTTTGTTTGTTTGTTTGTTTGTTTGTTTGTTTGTTTGTTTGTTTGTTTGTTTGTTTGTTTGTTTGTTTGTTTGTTTGTTTGTTTGTTTGTTTGTTTGTTTGTTTGTTTGTTTGTTTGTTTGTTTGTTTGTTTGTTTGTTTGTTTGTTTGTTTGTTTGTTTGTTTGTTTGTTTGTTTGTTTGTTTGTTTGTTTGTTTGTTTGTTTGTTTGTTTGTTTGTTTGTTTGTTTGTTTGTTTGTTTGTTTGTTTGTTTGTTTGTTTGTTTGTTTGTTTGTTTGTTTGTTTGTTTGTTTGTTTGTTTGTTTGTTTGTTTGTTTGTTTGTTTGTTTGTTTGTTTGTTTGTTTGTTTGTTTGTTTGTTTGTTTGTTTGTTTGTTTGTTTGTTTGTTTGTTTGTTTGTTTGTTTGTTTGTTTGTTTGTTTGTTTGTTTGTTTGTTTGTTTGTTTGTTTGTTTGTTTGTTTGTTTGTTTGTTTGTTTGTTTGTTTGTTTGTTTGTTTGTTTGTTTGTTTGTTTGTTTGTTTGTTTGTTTGTTTGTTTGTTTGTTTGTTTGTTTGTTTGTTTGTTTGTTTGTTTGTTTGTTTGTTTGTTTGTTTGTTTGTTTGTTTGTTTGTTTGTTTGTTTGTTTGTTTGTTTGTTTGTTTGTTTGTTTGTTTGTTTGTTTGTTTGTTTGTTTGTTTGTTTGTTTGTTTGTTTGTTTGTTTGTTTGTTTGTTTGTTTGTTTGTTTGTTTGTTTGTTTGTTTGTTTGTTTGTTTGTTTGTTTGTTTGTTTGTTTGTTTGTTTGTTTGTTTGTTTGTTTGTTTGTTTGTTTGTTTGTTTGTTTGTTTGTTTGTTTGTTTGTTTGTTTGTTTGTTTGTTTGTTTGTTTGTTTGTTTGTTTGTTTGTTTGTTTGTTTGTTTGTTTGTTTGTTTGTTTGTTTGTTTGTTTGTTTGTTTGTTTGTTTGTTTGTTTGTTTGTTTGTTTGTTTGTTTGTTTGTTTGTTTGTTTGTTTGTTTGTTTGTTTGTTTGTTTGTTTGTTTGTTTGTTTGTTTGTTTGTTTGTTTGTTTGTTTGTTTGTTTGTTTGTTTGTTTGTTTGTTTGTTTGTTTGTTTGTTTGTTTGTTTGTTTGTTTGTTTGTTTGTTTGTTTGTTTGTTTGTTTGTTTGTTTGTTTGTTTGTTTGTTTGTTTGTTTGTTTGTTTGTTTGTTTGTTTGTTTGTTTGTTTGTTTGTTTGTTTGTTTGTTTGTTTGTTTGTTTGTTTGTTTGTTTGTTTGTTTGTTTGTTTGTTTGTTTGTTTGTTTGTTTGTTTGTTTGTTTGTTTGTTTGTTTGTTTGTTTGTTTGTTTGTTTGTTTGTTTGTTTGTTTGTTTGTTTGTTTGTTTGTTTGTTTGTTTGTTTGTTTGTTTGTTTGTTTGTTTGTTTGTTTGTTTGTTTGTTTGTTTGTTTGTTTGTTTGTTTGTTTGTTTGTTTGTTTGTTTGTTTGTTTGTTTGTTTGTTTGTTTGTTTGTTTGTTTGTTTGTTTGTTTGTTTGTTTGTTTGTTTGTTTGTTTGTTTGTTTGTTTGTTTGTTTGTTTGTTTGTTTGTTTGTTTGTTTGTTTGTTTGTTTGTTTGTTTGTTTGTTTGTTTGTTTGTTTGTTTGTTTGTTTGTTTGTTTGTTTGTTTGTTTGTTTGTTTGTTTGTTTGTTTGTTTGTTTGTTTGTTTGTTTGTTTGTTTGTTTGTTTGTTTGTTTGTTTGTTTGTTTGTTTGTTTGTTTGTTTGTTTGTTTGTTTGTTTGTTTGTTTGTTTGTTTGTTTGTTTGTTTGTTTGTTTGTTTGTTTGTTTGTTTGTTTGTTTGTTTGTTTGTTTGTTTGTTTGTTTGTTTGTTTGTTTGTTTGTTTGTTTGTTTGTTTGTTTGTTTGTTTGTTTGTTTGTTTGTTTGTTTGTTTGTTTGTTTGTTTGTTTGTTTGTTTGTTTGTTTGTTTGTTTGTTTGTTTGTTTGTTTGTTTGTTTGTTTGTTTGTTTGTTTGTTTGTTTGTTTGTTTGTTTGTTTGTTTGTTTGTTTGTTTGTTTGTTTGTTTGTTTGTTTGTTTGTTTGTTTGTTTGTTTGTTTGTTTGTTTGTTTGTTTGTTTGTTTGTTTGTTTGTTTGTTTGTTTGTTTGTTTGTTTGTTTGTTTGTTTGTTTGTTTGTTTGTTTGTTTGTTTGTTTGTTTGTTTGTTTGTTTGTTTGTTTGTTTGTTTGTTTGTTTGTTTG